CTTTTGGATGACCCTGCTGATGATGTTGATTCTGCTAGAGCAGTTCCCGAAAGTATGTCTGTGGTAAGAGATGCCAATTGGGATACAAGGACATGTGGTTCAACACCTGCTGCAATTAGCTCCCTCGTAATTCTGATAGTCTTGATAGTGTCCCCTGAAATTGCTGTAGCGAGCAAGTCAATAAGCTTATTATGCGGAACGAGACCTACCTGTAAGGAGAAGAATAAGTAAAAAAAAAATAGTAGTAGATAGTAACACCATTCCATTGTGAAGTAGTTTAAGAGAGATGTTTTCTTTGGCAGTGTGTCGTTCCAAAAATCCCAAAAAAAAAAAAAATCAGACACAAATACAAGAAAGGACTACTCACAAGCTGTTGGACCATGGAACTTGTGATTGTTGACCCCAGTAAGGCCAGCTGATCCAATATGTTCTCAGCTTCTCTCAAGGATCCTTCTGCCTTGGCGATAATCAGTTTCATTGCTTCTCTTTCAATTATTATATCCTCATTTGCTACAATTTCTGATAGCTTGAGTGTTATATCCTTATCCTTGAGCTTTCGGAAGGAGAATTTCTGACATCTTGATGATATGTTTTTGGGAACCATGCTTGCATCAACGGTGATGAGGACAAATACCACCGTAGAACCATATCCCCCTTCTAATATGCCCAAAAGTTCATCCCATGCTTTTGCAGTGAATGTGTGACATTCCTCAATGATTAGGACTTTGAAACCTGATATTGCCTGGGTGAACGACGTGCTCTGGATCAGCGTCTTAATTCTTTCGAATCCAGTTGTTCTACTACAGGAGCACAACTCCATGATATAAAGGCTTTTTGAGCAGCCTCTGCAACCCCAGCATGGTTTAGTACTTGCAGTTGATTCACAGTTTAACGCCATGGCGAATATTCTAGCAGTAGAAGTCTTCCCAGTGCCACTGGGGCCATGGAAGAGATAAAGTTGTGCGACTTTCTTCTTCTTAACAGCATTTGACATGGCCTTGACTGTGATTTCATGACCTGCAATGTCTTGAAAAAGTTTTGGTTGATACTTTTGACTGAAGCTCGAGTTTAAGAGGATCTCATCTTTGCTTTGATAAGCAGAGCCAAAACCAAAGTCACAGCTATGATCAATTTCTTCCCTAGAAGCCTCTTCAGATGATAAGAGCTGGCCCTGTGGACAATTTGCTAAGGTAACTATCTTCTGTTTGCATCTGTTGTTGAACCTTCTTTTCATCAGATAGATTACCTTTCTTCTTTTAATTCCTTTACGCACTCTTGACCACTGCCACGGAACAATACAGCCCATGCTCTGGGACTGCAGGCTGCTCACACTTCTTCTCTCTTTTTGTTCCGGAAATGTTAGGGCCTTCTGGCCCCTGGCTGGAGCAAGACAAGATTTGACTAAAACAGAATCATCGACCAGCTTCAGATACTGTTCCATTGCTGCTGCTACAGATGTGGTGTCTGCTAGGCGTGCTGACATCGATAAGGAAGAACACCTCCTGAACTGGCCACTAACTTTAGAATGGTGTTGCATATTCTTTCTCACCCTCCTCTTCAATCCTCCCATGTCACCTATTTGACTAGTAGCATCATTCCTTTTGGTGTCATTGTGTGAAAAGCATCGGGGAAGAACGCCATCCTCGGCAGTCATATACTTCTTGTGAGGAAGGGTTGATGGGAGGAGTTGCAAAGAGTTTCTGTTTGGAAGATTGATGGAGAGTTTTGTTCCAAACTACGCTAACCGGAGCAGAAGAGAGCCACTGGGAGGGTTTAAGTTTTGGTTGTTGAAGTGCTTGTTGGCCACTAGTTTGATGAGCAATTTTTATAGTTTATTGATGGTTGAAATTTCTTGCTCTTAAGAAACCATCCCATTTGTTAGTTAAACATCAGCAGGCAGAAGGCAGGCCTGTGGCCGGCTAGAGACAATAACACAGGTATTGAATTGAACACAAACACACACACAAAACACCTATATGAGTCAACATCATTCATGGCTATTTATCTATATTGTTATTGTGTAATGACAGTGTCGGTATTATTAATATTCTAAAACTATGTTTGTGTTGCTCCATCTGGATGTGGATTTGTTTGCAAGTGTCTTTCTTTTCTTTCTTTTTCCTTTCAAATCTCAGGTTTGTACTTAATAGAACAAGTATTTCCTGATATTTGAGTTTTCTGATTCGGTTTGACATGTGTGTCTTCTGATCAAAGTAAATTTCACCTTTTGGACTACTTGTCATAATATGTATTATGTTCTTCTTCGTTTTTTTCTTTTTCCTTTTTTGAATTTGTCGATGATGGTGAAATCTCCATAATTCAGAACATGACATTATTATCTTTATTATTTTTTTTATAAGTAACATTTAATTTTCTTTTAGTAACAAAGAATCTATCTATTCATTTAGGTACTTTAGTCTGAATACAAACATTTTTATTAATATTTATTGTTATCACTAATCTATCTCTCTCTCAATTTGCCACCAAGTGGCAGCTTGTTGGCTGCATCTGCCTCCGACCTGCTCGTGGTTTGGACTCTTTTGCTCTGGAATCCGTTAGGTAGGGAAAGTCATCCCATAGCTTCTTAATTTTATTTTTTAATGTATATAAGTGTGGGTGATGGCACTTTTTAATTCATTTTATTCTTAAAGATTGATCAAGCTCAAATGTACCCCCAAAAAAACCCTTCAAATGGAGCAACTTTTTAACCTTGTTTAATCATCATTCTTATTAATTTATAGAACAAGGGATTCAATTTAAAATTATCCATTTCCTGTTGATTTCGATCACCCAACATGAAAATGGGACAGTCTGATAAGAATTTAACTAACAAATGGTAGGTCTTGTAATTTTATGGTACTTTTTCACTTTTCAAAATAAAAAGTTTGAATGTGGATTTTTATGGGGACAAAAATAGGTAAGTGATTGTGTTTTTGTCAAAAAATAATAATAATAATAATAATTTTTTTTTTTAAAAAAAAAAAAAAAAAAAAAAAACAACTAACAAATAGCAATGAAATTTGAGACATGAGCCGTCCAACCTTATTAATTGGACAAGGTCGGAGTCCAAATGATATATCATAGCACCTGAGTAGAAACTTTTCCAAACCATCTATCTAAACATGGTTTCAAATTAATAAAAAATTTATCAATATTCATATAGAATTTAGTCGATTAATCTATAGAACAAGGGCAGTTACATGGGATTTAAAATTTATATTTCAAAATGCAACCCAGCTGTTTTTTATTGGAACTTAAGAAAAGGTAGTGGAATGTGAGACATTTCAGATTTTGATGTCTCATCGACACTTCACTTGAAGTTGAGGATGTCTCAATTTTTCTAAGTATTCCTCTAATATAATTCAATTACTGCCTCCAATAGTTTATCCTCCACGCCCAATTGACAGTCAGTGTCATACCTGCTAATAAAAAATACGCCTATGGCGTTTGATTTTCGTTAGATTCAAAGGAACAAGTCGTTTCCTTTGACTTTGTCCCTAAGACACACATATACATACATAAATATATGCATACACATGATGCATATATATATATATATATATATATATATATATATATATAAAACTCCGAAATGATTGATCATTCGGAAGAAGTTGATAATCATATAACATAAAGTCACTTATCAGAATTATGCAACGCAAATAACTATGTAATCCATCCGTCTCATAAAAAGTGTCATTATTAGAGAATTGTGCCACTTACCAAAATTATGCAAGGCAAATAATTATGTACTCTCTCTGTCCTATAAAAAGTGTCATATTTGAGAAATTGTGAACCAAATTTATGCGAGACAAATAACCCTGTACTCTCTCTGTCCCATAAAAAGTGTCATGTTTGGAGAACCATGAATAATAGAAATACTTCATAGGAGGACTCAAAACATATTGAGGTGGATTCTCATTTGAATAAATTTGAAATTCACTTTTCTTTGCAAATAAAACAAGACCGATGGTTCCACCTACGACTCCAAATGGGAACATTATTTTTGCACAACGCGGACGCTCTAAGACTCCTACTAGCACTCTCCTGTTTCTTAGTAAGATTTTACCATTGCACCAAACAATAACGTCTTTTGTTGCCCTCAGACTCCTACTAGCACTCTCCTGTTTCTCCGTGAGCTTTTATCATTACACCAAACAATGACGCCTTTTTTCTGCCAAGAAACAAAAACATAAAAACAAACGACGACCGCCATGCATGACGAGCCGGTGACAAATTGACCATGGCCTTGAGTAGAACAAGTTTCTAAGAATTGTGGCTAGTATAACTCGATTAGTCTCTAGCTTAAGAAACATGTTAGAAAGTATGATTTTAATTCTTCCTTTTAATGTGTGATGCTTTACATGATATTTACCATTTCTTGGTATTGCCCGTTTATACATCATTACAACTACATGAAATATAGATATATATTAGTTTGGAAGAAGTATGCCACATTAATACTAATTAGGCTTTAGGGAATATCCATGAATGGCCATGGAAGTGTTGAAAAATGATCTATTAACCAGTTACTTGATTGGACCATCCTCTCCGGTGAAATAATAGTCTGGTTCCATCAAATTAAGGAAGCACCCTACAAAAAAAATGTAATGAATTTCAGCATGTTTCACGACTGTTTTTTTTAGGGTTGCACCACTTACTTGATGTAAGAGGATTTTGTTCCGTTAATATACATTTTATGGAAAGGTTTTTAATAAGATTCAACCTACTGTCCAAAGAGAAGTAAGGTTTACAGGGCCCAAAAAGTAGTGAGACCCCTGCTTGGCCCAAAAAGGGTTTTTATGTATGACTTCCGGACCGATCATGGGGTACACATGGCCCAATTCCATGCTATGTGTCCCCAAAAAAACGAAAAATATACATGAAATATTATAGAGCCTTTTTGAAAGGTAATGTGCAATTTATCCAACAGGTAAATATTTACCGGAAAAAGGAAAAGAAATCCAAACAAAAATTAAAATTACCGGCACCAGACACAATTATTGGATGTCCCATGAAAATAAAATTACTTGATTGTGATTCACATGGTATTTGTACACAGGTTGGTTTGACTTTGACACAATAAACACTAGGAAGACAATAATAAAAAATATGAATAATTGAATTCCTTGAAGAAGCTGGACTAGAATGATCTTATTCTAAACAAGTGTGATGAGAAGAAACAGACATTTAAACGCCATGAAGAACAAAGTTGTGTGTGAATTTGAGTTCATTTTCCCTGGTTGACTCATCTCAGAAGCTATGAATTTGAGTTCAATTTCCCTGGTTGCCCAGAAAGCCCCTTTGGGTACAAGAAGCAACCATTCAACAAGCTGGCTTGCACATTATTGTGGCAAAATCATGTGATTCACTTTTCCTTTCGTTCTACTTTTTCAATTGTAGCTGTTAACCAAATGTTGTTAAGTTGAAATATGTCACATGTATTATCTCACCTGAAAGCTCTTAACAATGCTTATGGAACCGAAGCAGGAACCGTTGTTGGAACTCGGAGAACTTGTTTCAGCAAGCGTGCCGCTAAACGCTGAGTGATTCCACCAATTACACGCCCCCCAAGGCTGCGTGCCTCAGGTTCTTGCAGGACCTGTACATGCATAGTTCCCGAATCAGCTTGATTAATGAATTACAAACAAGTCCACTACCTTAGGTTATTTCAACAACAAATGCCTTGAATACCCTCTTCAATAATATAAGCAGTTCTAGTCTAGCATTTTTTTTTTATATATATAAAAGGATTCAGAACCTAAAGAACATGTCATCATGCTCTGGATACTGTCTTCAACCAAGATGCTTCTGTAGGAATCCAATAAGTCTTCCATCCTTGGGGCCTATTTACAGGCTTTAGAAGACCGTAAGGGCCAGTTTGGTAGAATGGAAATGAAAGGAAAAGAATAGAATGGTAATGGAAGGAAATAACAAAAAAAAAAAAAATGTGTTTGGTAGGAAATGTTGGATGGAAAGGAAAGGAAATGAAAGGAAAGGGAAGGAAAGACTAATATTTTAAATGAAACTTTGTTAATACCAAATTTGCCCTTATATTTTTAAAAAAAAAACTCTATAAAAAAGGGTATGTTTGTCAATTCATTACAATAGTTTCCTTTCATTTCTTTCCCCAAACATGATTATTATCTTTTCTTTTATTAATCAACCAGACACGACAAACAATTAACACTGTCCTCTCATTTCTTTTCTTTTCCCTTCTAACTAATGTTATCATTTCTTTTCTTTTCTACTGTACCAAGCATATCCTAAATCTAAATGAAATACTAAAATCACCAGAAAAAGAAAACATCCTTAGGCAATATGGCCACCTATAATTCGAAGTTAGAATCCCTAGACCCTTGAAAATAATTTAGAAATAAATTTTTTTTTTTTTTTTTTAAAAAAAACAGCAAGATCATTTAAGATTTCCCAATACCACATTATCTACTAAAACTGAAAAACTTTTATGGCATATTATTCTTGGATCCCACATCAAATAGGATGGCACATCAAGATAGTAGGTGTAACAGGTGGGTGCTTCGCAATCAACCGGCTAACAGTAGACTACTACAACCACAAAATATACATTATTGAGAGAAGGTGCGAGGTTAGAAGTTTGAGTTTAATCCAATATATGTGGCGACCTATGTGGGCGGGTGTGCATGGGCGAGTGCGAGGCACTGACAGACTACCACACTGGGCAAGCTATAGGTGTACAATCCCACATCGTTTGGGTGTGGAAAAGGCAAGTGCTATATGTAGATTCAACACCCTTTTATGACACAAAGCCGTAATGGTCGTTAATCTGTTAGAACTCCGGAGTTAAGCGTGCTTAACCTGGAGTAATACCAGAATGGGTGACCTCCTGGGAAGTCTCCCGTTTGGGGGAGCCAAAAGCGAACAAGTGTCTGGGTAGGGTGAGGGTTGTTACAATACAAACTTGGCAACCTGAAATTCTTATCAAGTTCTGTTGAGTTCAATCAATGGTGTTTCATGGTGAGATGATGCAAGGAGAGGCACAACATAAGGCTAAATTCATGAAAGGTAAGGCAGCTTCTTATTTACGTAGGAGCTATAAATAAACAAGCCCTTATTTATTGTTTCCTATATATTTTTAGCAAGTATATATACAGAAATGATCACTTGCTCACCAGTCACAGATGAGCAAGAGATTTATCGACACCAAGCATGGCGTTGTATATGATTTGTTATGTTGTTTTTGGTAATTACCTTTTTTTTACCCTTGAATCATATCCAACGGTTACCCTGTTTGGTGTGGAGAAAATTTTTTGTTTACCGGAGAGCAGGAAATCATTACTCTATATATATATCTATATATATATATATATAAAACAAAAAAACTTAAAAAAGAGAAGATAAAAGTAAGAAAAAATAACTCCACGGATAATATACGGGCCAACTTCAGTGTCCTATAATCCTGAAGTAAAATAGTCTCGCGCTCCTAGAATCATATAAATTTTACTCGTATATTAAAGCTGATAAGGAAGGATGATGATGATGATAACTGATAAGCATGAAGTTGAGAAATAAGTGTAGAGCAAGTTTGTTAGTTTGCTGAGTAAAATAATCAACATACATGATATCCACTTGAAACTGGAATAATAATAAATAAATTAAAGAACAAAGAAATTAGAGGTTGATTCTCACCTGCAAAATGGGCTGCAAAAGTGCAGGATCAAAATTCTCTGAGGTTCGCAGAAGCCCCCAAATCCTAAACACTTGCTCTTTAAGCTGCATCATGCTTTCTCGTTCAGCATCACTCATTGTAAGAGGCCCACTAAGAGGCCCACTTGTATTGGCATTGAAAATAAGAGTCCTCATAAGATCAGGCATGGAGTTGTAAGAATCAATCATTGAGCCCAGAATAACAGCTTCAGTAACACTGATAGCTTCTTTAATAACTAAAACCCTGAGCTCTTCACCTTCTGGACCCAACAACAGCTTCAGGACAGGTTGTAAAGCATCATTTGCAGAAAAATCTCTATCTTTTTTACCCTGAACAAGCAGGTTTTCAAGTCTATTCCATCTGTGTCAAAGGAGCATTTTAGTTCATCCAACTGGACTAAAAAGGAACATATCACTTAATTCAAGGTGAAGAAAAATAAAAGCAAGACATTAGTAAAATACATGCCTGAACCTCCCATCCTTGAAAAGCAACTCAATCAGAGCATCTCTCAGATATGGATTTGGATCTGTTAGAAGTCTTTTAGCAAAATATGGATATGAAGCAGCCAGGACCTTAAATTCAGGATCAGCATACAGGGCTAAACCTTCTAGTACGGTAAGCGACCTCAATATTAATGCATAATAAGCTGGGACTGCAAGCATTTTGCCAAAATAGCACTGTTAGAAGTATTTATATATTTAGACAGCCATAGTGTTGTGGTTATGAAGAAAACTTTTGCCTCCGCATTCAATAAAACGTGGGGCTTTGCCTAAGTTTGCCAATGGCACCTATGGATTAAACAGCACCAGGTGACAATAAGGCTAAAGGTCATTGATAAATAGACACAGTAGCAGCTCACCATTAAAAGGATATTGATATAGAACAGCACCCAAACCGTCAACTATTGTTTTAAAGTTGAGTTCGCTCACAGTAGAATTAAGTGCATCATCAAAGAAGTTCCGAAGTGCTGGTACAATTGGAGAAACATCTACATCAGGTGCCAAAAAATCTAGAGCATAGTAGTCACGAGCCATAGCTTCATAATCCCGATTAACCATGTGAACAACATGACCAATGATGGCAAATCTTGCTTCTTCTGGAGTCTCACTCATCATCCCAAAATCAAGAAAAGCAAGCTTTCCCTCGGGTGTTGCCAGGAGATTACCAGGATGAGGATCTGCATGAAAATATCCATACTCAAGCAGCTGTCTGAGACTGCACTGAATACCCGTGTTCACCAAATCCAAAACTTTCAACCCTTGTCTCTCAATTGCATCTTGCTCATTTAATTTGACACCTTCAACCCAATCCATTGTCAATACTTTCCCACTAGTGTAATCCCAGAAGATATCTGGGACAAGGACATCTTGTTTGTCAGCATACAACTTTTTAAACCTCCTTGCATTCTGACCCTCCTGCATAGACCTGTCAAAATTAACATTCAAACCCAGAGAAATCTTGTACAAAAATGAAACAATCAAAGCTTTAGTTTCTTCTATTTCACACAGGTCACAGACGAACAAGCCTTCCTAAAATCAGATATACATGGGAAAAGAAAATGAGCCAACATGCATGCTTATGATGAAAATGGTGAAAATTTTGATGGGGAAACTAACCTGCACATAGTTGAGCTCTTGATAAACTCTGCGAGCAAATTCATCAATAAGAGCAACAACATCACTGGAAATAATGTCAACATATTTATTTATGATGAATCCTAGACCCCTTATCAGGAAAAAGTCAAGTCCTATAGCTTCTTCAATGCCAGGGCGTTGCACCTTCACAGCTACAATCTGGCCCGATAATTTTAGCCGAGCTTTGTAAACTTGGCCTAGACTGGCCGCAGCAATTGGAGATGGGGATATTGATGAGTAGATGGAGTCAAGTGGGATTCCCAACTCTCTCTCAATGCATGAAAATGCCTCTGCGTCTGGAAACGTTGGCAAAGCATCCTGCCCAATCATAAAATAGCAGTGAGGGTTGTCTTTGCATCTAACTTCTACTTATCACAACTACACTTCAAAGCATTGACGGCTATATCTCACAAAAAAAAAAAAAAAAAAAAAAAAAACAGCAAATTATACTAAAAAAAGCGTCAACCATGACTTACATCATTTGTGCCCATAAAAAAAAATTTGAAATCATAAAGCAACATGACTCACACAACTTAATGTGATTTTGTAGAATTTTCTAGTTTTGGTGAACAGTAACACCCTAATACCAGTACAAGAGTGACCAACCAAACCAATAGATACTCCTGTTAAAATCCCGAATATTACGCAGCCTTCAATACTGAGTACATAATAATTAGGGTTAATTTCACCTAGACCCCCTGAGGTTGGCGCATATTTCACCTAGATGGAGATTTGGTTTTTAGCGACCACTTAGACTCCAATTTGTTTTTTGGACTCTGACACAAGGGAATTGACCCATTTACCCTTAAATTTTTAATACAATTTAATACCAAAAAATTTATAATTTTAAAAGGCAAAACTACCCCTGACATTGTACACCTAATGACATTGTACACAAAAAAACCCAAAATAGGCGAACCAAACGGCAAACACAAACCTACACTCTCCTCTGCATCTAACACCCAACACCCTTATCTCCGAACCAAACCTAGCCTCCGCCGCCGTTCCATCTCGCCATCTACCTTAATGATGTAGCTTCCGCCCGTACGAGGAGGTTTCGCCGCTGTTCTGAAATCTCAGTGATTCTCCTACAGAGGCCGCCCATACGAGAGATCCTCTTTGCCGAAGCTCCTGAGTAGATTCTTGTGACCATTTTTTAAGGCGAAACCAAGTAATTCACTGTGGTAGATCAAACCCTAATTTTCAGAGGCCGTTCATTGAAGAACCTTAATTTCAGGTACGATCCTAATCAAACCCTATGTTTCTGTCTCGCTGTTCCCCTCTTATATTGTAGATACTATTTAGAGAGAGAAGAGAGAGAGAAAGGGGTCTTGTCATGGCAGCTTACTGCTCATGTCTCTGCAAAAAACAGCAGAGAGTCACTGAATTCGAGTTAAGTGCGTTTACAATTTACTGGGACTTCAATGTCTCACCATTTCGATTCTTTTCTATATATATATATATATTTGATTTTTTTTTTTTGTCTTGTGAGTTCTCTGATTCTGCATTTCATTTCATTTTTGTTGTGTGTTATTCAAGTTTGAAATGGCATATGACATATTGCATGATGTTGATGAGGTGATAGAAGTAGTGGTGAGGCAAGAAGAGAATGTTAGTGAAGAGGTCAGTGAAGAAGAAAATGTCGGTGAAGAGATGAGTGAAGAAGAGAACAGTGCGAGTGATGTTGGTGGATCTGAGTATACTTTTTGTGATAGTGATGATGAAGATTGGACTGGTGTTCATGAAGGAGTTGAGAATTTGGGAGATCATAATCTTCAAAACATTGGCTTGGAAAATGAAATTCCAGATGTGAGCAGTGATGGGTTATCTAATTACAGTGAGAATCAAGATTTGACCGGAAAAAGTGAGGATGAAATAGAGAGTAATGTAACGAAAGGGAAAGGAAAAAAGCAAACAAGGACCGTGGATTATTTATATAAATCATTGAAGGGGAAGTTGTTCAAATATGCTGAAGGGGGAAAAATTGAATTTGAGAAGGGCCATATTTTTTATGACATCCGCCATTTCAGAGAGGTTTTGGTGGAGTATTCAGTCCAAAAAGGTTTTAACCTTGCTAGGGAAAAAAATGAGACCGGTAGAATTACTTGTCACTGTGCCAACCAAGGCTGCAGTTGGAGAATTCATGCAACTATATTGGCTGATCAGTTGACATATAAGGTGACGTCTGTAGGCCCAGAGCACACTTGCATCAGAATAAGTAAGCTCAAGAGTGTGACTGCACCTTTTATAGCAAAAAAGCTTATGGAGAAGTTTAAAAGGAATCCTGAAATTAGTGTCAAAGATGTGAAAGAAGAAGTTAGAGAAAAACTTCTTGCAATTGTAAGTACTAGTGCTTGTTGGAGGGCTAGAAATATAGCAAGAGATCAGATTCTAGGGAACCATTCTACTTCATATAAAAAGCTTTGGAAATATGCAGCTGAGGTAGTTAAAACTAATCCTGGGAGTTTAATTTTTATAAAACCAAGTATAGATGACCCTACCAAGTTCAAGAGACTTTTTTTTTTTTATCATTTGCAGCATGTCAAAATGGTTTTATTAATGGTTGCAGACCATTTATTGGTATTGCTGGTTGTTTTTTGAAGGGGCCATTTGGGGGTATTTTGATGAGTGCAATAGGACTTGATGGGAATAATGGATTATATCCATTTGCAGTAGCTGTAGTTGAGTCTGAAACTAAAGACAGTTGGAAATGGTTTCTGGATCACTTGCATAAATTCCTAGGTGATACAACAACAACTAATATACCATGGACTTTTATGTCAGTTGGTCAAAAGGGCATTTTAACTGCTCTCTCTGAAATTTTTCCACAAGCAATAACTAGGAGATGTTGCAGGCATATATATGCTAACTTTAGGACATGGTGGCCAGGTGTGAAGTACAAGAAACTATTCTGGGAAGCTGTAAATGCATATAATGAAGAAGATTTCAAAATTGCAATGAGACAGATTGAGTCAATTAGTCAGGATGCCTCAATTTGGTTGATGGAGCATCCTTTGGAGACATGGACAAGACACAAATTTGATGATAGGGTGAAATGTGACTATGTCACCAATAATCATGTGGAGTCATTTAATTCTTGGCTTGGGAATGTTAGAGCAAAACCAATCACTGCTGTTTTTGAATGTATAAGAACAAAGGTGATGTCCAAATTCAACAAAAGGTTTCGAAGGACAGTAGATTGGACAACCACTGTAGTGCCAAAAATTAAGAAAAGATTAAACTCCAATATATCCAAAGCTGGTACATGTGAATTGCCATGGCCCGCTGAAGGAGTGTATGAGGTAACTGATAATGCAAAACTGAAGAGTTATATTGTTATGCTTGGGGAGAGGACTTGTTGTTGTAGGGAATGGCAGGTGAGTGGAGTTCCTTGTATGCATGCATGTGCAGCCATTACTACCACAAGGGTGGATATTGAGAAGTTATGTTCAGATTTCTACAATAAGGATACATATACAAAGACTTACACTCCTTTCATCCACCCCATGCACGATGAAAGTATGTGGACTGAGGTTGACAAACCTGAATTGGATCCACCAAAACTCAAAAGACCCTGTGGTAGACCAAGAGTGTCAAGGAAGAGGGAGGATGGTGAAGCAGAAGCAAAGAAAAGGTCAACTATTGTGCAGTGCAGTGTATGTGGACATTTTGGACACAACAAGAGGGGATGTCAAAAGGCTCCTACTGCAAAACAGGCAAGAGCAGCAGCTTTAGGCCCATCATCATCATCAGCAACAGCAGGCCCAAGAGTAGGAGGAAGAAGACATCCACCAAAAAGATCAAAAAGGAATAGAGCAGTAACAGCAGCAACACAAGGCTCTAAGGTACTAAATTCATTGAATAAAGATTTCTTCATTTCAATTTTTTTTTTCTCTTTTTTTTTTTTTTCACATTTCAATAAAGATTTCTTCATTTCAATTTTCATATTAGGCTTCCGGTAGGGCAGCAGCAACAAGAGCAACTCAAGCCACATCAACACAAGGCTCTCAGGTATGTAATTCATTTATTGATCCTAATAACAACAAAACACAAAGCTCTCAGGAATATAATTGTATTGTAATAAATATTTTTTGTTTCATTTCAGCCTTCATGTTGTACCAGCAGGAAGTAGGAGCTTAACACCATTGAGATGGAATGAATTTGATGGCATTTTCTATTTGTGGCAGTTATTTAGTACATTAAGTTTGGTATTTGGTATTTTTGATATTCTGTACTTTAAGTTGGGAGTGTATTGATGTATTTTGAGACTTTATGTTGGGAATGTATTGATATATTTTGAGACTTTAACAGGTATTGATATATTTTGGGAATGTAACAGGTTTTAAAATTTTGCAATCCTCTAACAGGTTCTGATTTAGAGGTTTAAAAAAAAATTTGCAGTAGCAGTATATGCAATTGGATTGTATCAGCATCTGATTTTGCAATCCTCTAACAGGTTCTGATTTAGAGGTTTAAAAAAAAATCTGCAGCAGCAGTACATGCAATTGGACTGTATCAGCATCTGATTTTTAGAGGCTTAAAAAAATTACAATTCTTTTACAGGTTTTAAATTTAAATTAAAATTTGTTGACTAATTGCTTTACATGATTGTAACAGTTGCTTTAAAGGCTTTTTAAAAAAAGAAACAGGCTTTTTTTTTTAACAGGTGTTTTACATGTTAATATTCAAGTAATTAAGAATGAAATAGGACTGAAAATTTTGAAATTCACTTTTTTGGCAATTAATAAATTAAGAAAGAAATAAGAGTGAAAATTTTGAAATTTAGTTTTTTATTAGCAATGGTCATTGTCGAGAAAAAAATAATTTATAGCAGAGGCAACTGTGGTAAGCTCATTTGGGGGTATTTTTGTCATGAAAAACTTGAAGGGTATTTTTGTCATGAAAATTTTGAAATACACTTTTTTTAAGTCAACATATGGTCAAAAGGGTAGAATTGTCATTTTATACCTAAAAAGTACTACAAATTGACATTTGGGGTGTAAGTGAAATACAAACTCACAAATTGGGGTCTAAGTGGTCGTTAAAAACCAAATCTTCATCTAGGTGATATATGCACCAACCTCAGGGGGTCTAGGTGAAATTAACCCTAATAATTAATACCTAATGTGGTGCCTATGAACATATTACCAACATAAATGCATTGGCTGCAGATCCTTAGGCTCCATTTGGTTAGATGGAAATAGCAAATAAGTTAAGGAAATGGAACAAAAAATAAATAAAACGGAAAATTTTGAGGGAAAGTAAACTTTCTGTAACCACCAAACTTCCAAAAAAAATTCCCGCAAAAACACAATAAAATTTTGATTTCTTGAGCAATTGTTATGAATTTACTGTAATACCCATTCTTTTCTTGTAAGTTTCATACATTCCAAACCATGAACTGGTAACTTTTCATTATTTTCTTGAAAAAAATTAACGCCAATCAAATGTATCTTAGAAAAATTATTTTCCTTTCATTTATTTCACTTTCTTTAACTTTCACTTCCATTGTTAATTTTCATTTAACCAAACAGACCCTTGAGCAGCGTCACTTTTATCCCAGTCACATAGAAACAGCTGGTGTTGAACTACCAGAAGTCACTAAGCAATGAAGCATGGGTATTTCTATTATCCTCATCATATTCGTATCGGATGTCGACCCTTCTTGGATGCTCGTGGATATGCGTTGGTAATTGTTAAGTGTATTCATAATTTGACAATAATTTTTTTCTTTTATTTTGAACATGTACTCGGGACTTCTCAAATACTTTGGGAGACATTTGTCTGCCATGTCTTGGACACATCTCGAGCACGTATCGAATACTTCTCACTTGTTTGACACATATCATAGTTTAATTGTTAGAAAAAAGTTGTCACAATGATTTCAAATACTTGGACTTTCTTATAGAGAATAACTGAGATAAAGTAGAATACATCATCTTTAATTTAGTCCAAAAAGCATGTCAGTACAACCATCTATCTCAGCTTTTTCATGTAATTTTAATATAAAGTTAGGAATACTAAAATACGTGACAAATTCACAGAGTTAAATGTTTGTCATATACGGAGTATCTTTTATTGAACTGGAAATAAACAAATGCTATTCGCAATATATGTATACTGTATATAATATGATAAACAATTAATTTTTAAAAATTTATCCGTAGCAAGCTACAAAATATAATTTTTCTTAAAAATATGTGACAAATTCATAGACTTAATTGTTTATCATATATCTTTTATTGAACTGGAAATAAACGAATATTAGTCGCAATATATGTATATTGTATATAATATGATAAACAATTATTTTTTAAAATTTATCAATAACAAGATACAAAATATAATTTTTCTTAATATGTATAGGCGTGCGACAAATACATGCACGTATACATTATCATAACCTTGCTCTATCCGTATTCTGATTTATTTATTTAATTCATATCATGTCATTTCCGTAAATCATATCCATATTCATACTTCATAAAAAACTAAGTAAATGGCAGCAGACAACTTTTAAGGAGCAAAGAGAAGAACTAATTCACCTGGACTTGCTGCTTTGCCCCATTCACAGAACTTGTCCCTAGTAAAAGAGGCAAGATGCAAGCTGCAAAACCTATAGTCCTAGACCATACTATAGAAATCTTGAGACAACCAAGAACATAGTAGCCAATATGAAGCATTCCCCATGAAATGCTTATGTGCTAAGATGATCCTCGTGAGTAAGGGACTGAACCAGCGAACCAATACAAGTGTCAACTAATTATTTCCCCTTTTTCCATCTACAGCATCTTTCAATTGCCAACTGCAAACCTATCTAGTCATGTACCTCATCTCAATCTCAAGTTAAATAATGTTCAATGAGCTTTCAGTGTTGGCATTTGAGCCAACTTGGTCAAGCTTTTCATCTGTTGTACCTCGAGTTCTTGCATTTTGGCCATCATAAACCACAAGCATTTTACATTATAAATGGTACAATTTGATTATAGATGTCAGCAACAAACAGACGCATAAATTTTCAGGAGCTAACTAGGTGCAATAATGTGGTGTTTGCAACATAACAGTTGTCCCCAACTACTAAGCAAATGTTCTACAAATATTCGGAGTCATAAAATATATATTGATTGTTTTATGGATTAGTGCATTATTTTCAATAAGCCATTCTAACTCTATATCTGTTGTTGCGACAAACGCCCCGAACCAAGAACAAATCAAGAAGCAAGAAGAAAAGTAAACCTGGCACACACAAAGAACACAAAGATTTACATGGTTAGGCATCACCGTACAGCCATGATGAAGAACGTGGAAAATTTTTCAGTTTCCTGCGGTTTTCACTATTCTCCTATGTCCCACGACTCCCACTCCAAATCCTATTTGCCCTTGTATACTAGTCCTAAACCATAGTTGTTAAAGGCGCGCCTAGGCTCCAAAAAAGCCCCAGGCTCGTCAAGGCTCAGCTAGAGCGCCTCAACCACTACAGGCGAGGCCCCTGCAATAAGGCTCACATAAAGCCCTCAGGCTCACGCTTTTTAGTAGGCTCCAGGCTCAAAAAAGGCGCGCCTTGTATTTTTTAATCATTTATTTGTATCATTTTCTTGTTTACTTAATGACTACTAAATTAAAAGGTTCTATATCATATATTGTATTGTTTTAAACTTATGAAATATTTGACAAAATTCATAAATTTATGGTTCACTACTTACATTAACTACAATTAGTGCTTGATTATGAATATATATAATATTATATGTTTAAATATGTATTACTTTATACTCGTGCCCTACTTCGATCAGGCTCGCGCCTTATACTGTGCCTTGCGCTTAGGCTCCAGAAGGCCTTTGGCGCCTTCATGCGCCTTGAGCCTTTAACAACTATGTCCTAAACAGAGTCCAAGACCTGCAAGAGAACGGGTCAAAAAGTTCTCATGCTGCAAGAAATGGGCAAGGGGCACTGCATCGACACCCGAGTGTAGTGTAAATTGGGTAAGGGGTTCTTGGCACCATTTAGGAGAAGCACTGGTAAACAAGCTAATCCAAAAAAATTAACAACTTGGACTAATATAACATTTAAAGATAGGGAGCGAGCATTAGGAAGAAGATACCTGAAGTTCAGCAAGCTCCTCGAGGTACTCCGGTGGACAGAGGTCCGGCCTGGTCGACAACCCCTGTCCTATTTTAACAAAAGTAGGTCCCAGCCTCGTGAAGATCTTCCTCAGCTCAATTGCACGCACTCTCTTGTTCTGATCGATCTGCTTATTCAGCTGATCTAACCACAGCTTAAAGCCAAACGAACCCAACCCGAAAAATACTTCCAAAGTCCTCATCAACACCTATCAAAAAACACAACGATACACAATTCATCCAAAAGCGCAAGTTCTATATCAACATCAATTACTCTACTCATCAGAATTTGTTCATTTCTTTACCTTGATGGGTCGAGAGCCGTACTTTAGGGCAAGCAATTCAGGGCTATAGACGGAGGCATTGACGGCACGCGCCATTGCTTTGGCCTCGGCTTGCATATCGTTGGCTCGATTTCTTGAAGAAAGAAGAGCGGAGTCTCCTGCGAGAACCGGCACGGCATTGTTGCCGTTAGGGCCTTCTCTGATGGCCGGAACGGGTGGTCGAGGTCTGGCCTCCACCAGAGCTGCTCGCGGTCTGTGTCTTACTCTTCTTCTCCCATTACAAGAATGGGTTGTCCTAGAAATGGTTATCGAACCGGTTGTTGAAGCTAGTGCCAGAGAATTCATGGCTTCCAACACAGAGATATAATGGAGAGTGGGTGAAGGAAAGAGAAGAAAAAAAAGGAATTTGGGGGAAGGAAGAGAGCGTTTTCTCCTTCTCTCGTATTTTTGTTTTTTTTTTTTTTATGTACTTATTATTACATATTTTTATGTACAGTGTATAATATCTGGCTCATAATGCAAAATGGACCTTTCGATACTTTCGTACACGAAACAAGATTGATGGATTCTCGCACTCCACGACCGTGTCATATAACATAATGTGAATACATGTTCTTGTCCTAAATAACGGATTGAGGGGATGTATTATAATTTTTATATCATTTTACGAGTGGACGGAAACGGAAGAAAATAAATAATAGGGCAGCATGTTTAGCGTTTTGTTTTAATGCGAAATAAAATAAATATTTTATTATATAATTATTTGAATAATTTTCAAAATTATGCTTCAAAACGTAAATTTATTATAATATTTTTTAAAACAAAAACATAAAAACACGTTAGATTAAAAAATATTACAAATTTAAAAAATAAAATATTAATTTTAAAATGTTATTTAAAAGTTTTTTATTTTTTTTAACTATTCATCTTTACCGTACTTGTTGTTTCAATGTCGAAACATGTAAAAATACTAAATTAATGTTTTAATTTTTTGCAAATATTCATGAAATATTTCAGCATTATGCAAAACAAAATATTTTTTATCAACTGTGTTTTTTTTTTACTTTTCACTGCTACAGTACCATACAAAAAATAAAAATACCAAAAACAAAACGCGTACCAAACACCGTCTTAGTAATTAACTCTTTTGCTTAATTCTTTTAGTAAATTATAAATTTATTAAATCTTATTCTTTCATTTCTTTCTATCCTTTTCGAACACAAATTAAAATTAATATAATATTTTCATTAATTTATTACATTATCAATTTTTTTTCTTCTATAGTAGTCCGTATACCAAACACGATAAAAGTAGTGTTAGTTGTTTTTGCCCCTTTCATGATATTTTTGTTCTGAAAATAGAATTGACCCCATCAAATGTTCACCAACTACTTTGGGAAATTTAATGCTAGAGAAGTGAAAGCTGTTGAGGTACAAATTCAATAGGAAATCGACAAGGGTGCCAAAAAAAAAAAAAAAAGAAAAAAAAAGGGTGATATAAAAATTATATTTAAAAAAAATAAAATAAGAACTTTTCTGCTGTAAAAAGTGAAGGATTATTAATCCGGACAAGGCAAAATAAACTAGGCAAAGCTCATATTCTTGCGCTGTGGTGCTGCACCATGTTAGACGAATCTCATAAATTACACGTGTGAAACGCGTGTGTACAATTTGGTACAAATTAAACTGTCATTTTAGCTCAGTTCTTAAATTGGGATTGTTAATTTATGGTTCTAATTTTAATTCCAAGTCTATTAAAATTGAACTGTAAACTATAATATTAATAAATAATAATATAACACATATCACATCGATTAAACCAAAAACGAGTTTGAGGATTTTGGATGCAGATAAGGGCATTTGATATAAATTTGATAGCAACCTAAATTAATAAAAATTAATAGAGTGGTGCAGGTAAGCACATGTGACATAAATTTGATACCAATACTCAAACATATAAAGTTTGAGTTACTTTGATTATGGAATTTCAATTTAGGACATTTCTTTAAATGAATACTAGACATTTTGTTTTTAAAAGAGAACTATTAAACCAGATCGAATAGGCCTTACATTATTCAATTTCATATCAGTTTCAATTCTGATTATAATTTTTTACAAGCAATTGGAATCGAATTAATTTTTATTTAACCTTAAACCGAAATGTATACTATCTATTCCTAAAATTTGTCAATTCGAGTATTATTATAATTTAACTTCTCTAAAAATTAAACACAAAACTTCCTGTGATAAAAAATTACAATCAATCAACTCAAAATTATTATATGATCTCAGGACCATGAGTCCATTTCAATCATATATTGACATATAAGTGTGAAAAAAAATATATAAAAAAAAATATATATATTAAATTTAAAATAAAACTAACACATTTATTTAGCCGGCACATGATTTGACAAGAACCATTCAAGACTAGCAACTAGCTTATGGGTTATTTGATTAGATTGTCACATTCACATCCAAATGGATCCGGGTTGAAAGAAAAAAGAAAAATTTGGGCTTGATTGTCAACCCTGCCAATAGCCGCAATTTTTAGTAAGCGCTTTTCCGCGTTGCATGACGGTTACAAGTTGAATTTATGATCTGAAGTTTCAAAGAAAGAACCAAATTCAATTGAATGAAAACTTTGGTTTTTGTGGAGCCCACGCGAAATTTCATAAATATTGCTCTTATAAAGCATTTCAGTACATGTCTCTTTCTATATATATATTTCTCTAGTCATCTCTCTAAATTCAATCGACTATTGTAGTATTTTGATAAGAAAGTTAACCAAATTTTTCTACAAACGGAGAAAACAAACCCCTCCTCTTCTCTTCAAGCTTCAGGTTTGGGTGTTGAGAAAAAAAACAGAGATTTGTGTTTTGGGTTAGCCCCTGGAAACCATCCATGTGAAAAGGTACCCAGAAAGGAGCCTTTTTAACCGTTTGAAGAATATATATAGACATAGAGATGCAGAAAAGGCGCGCAGCTTCAGCTGGAGGCTTATTTTTCATGATCAAGGTAGTCTTCTTTTGAAAATATATTTAATTTCCTTATTGAATTCTCTATTCTTGATAATCTGAAACGCTTTATTTATTTTTATTATACTTCATATAATCATGCAATTGAATCATAATTTAACTATTGCCTCTAATGGTTTGCACATGTAGTTCAGGGACTTTACTTTATCTATCCATTTTTGTACCAAAATTAAGAGCTTGTGTTGGAGTAATTACCTATAAGCAATCCAAACTATGAGCCTGTCTCTTATTAATCCATTCCTATTTACATAATAGTGATTGGATTATAACAATGAATCTTAAACCAGATAAGTTGCTTCGTGTATGTTTGGGAGCACCAAATCGGGCGTCTTGGATTTGGAATCGGAGGAAATTCAGTTTAAACTTGCTTGATTTGGTGCTCCCAAACGCAACATAAGAACATTTAGAGTGCTAATTAGTTGTGGAAATTTGATTGATGGTAATTACTGGTGATTTGAGGTTGTGTCATGGTGATTTTTTTTTTCTGTGTTTTTCTGTGTGTGGGAACTGCAGAATGTTTGTTGCTTTGATTCGTCCTCATCAGACACAGGGAAAGGGCAAAGTAAGTCTTCCAACAAGAAAGTGGCTCATGGATTCCACTTGGTGGAAGGGCAGTCTGGTCATGACATGGAGGACTACCATGTTGCTGAATACAGAAATAAGAAGGGCCGGGTGCTTGGACTCTTTGCGATATATGATGGTCACCTTGGTGACAGTGTTCCAAGTTATTTAAAGGATAATCTTTTCAACAACATACTTGATGAGGTATATCTCCATAATTGGATATTTCTTTCTTTTTTTTTTTTTTTCGTTGTCAATTAATTATTGGGATATGTTAGTTTATCTCCACTTCTATCATGCTTAGTTTCTTACCTTTCACACAGTCAGTCACAAGCTTAGAGAGTGGGGGATGATTGTAGTAGGTGGGCGATTAATATGCAACATTTAGTCATACCTCATCAGTATGAAACTCGAAATCTTTTAGTTAGGTAAATTTCCTAAGCGGAAAGCATGCGAAATTTGACTATAGTATACCTTAAAAGTGGCACACTGCCTAGTTCGTGGATATATATACTAGGCAGGATGTAAATCATACTTCGTTTTGTTGATAAGTGAAGAATTTATAAACAAAATGCAATTGAGGGGGTGAAACCTATGATATGCATAGTATACATGAACTTCGGCTCAGCTCCTTTTGCATAACTTAAATCTTCAATGAAAAGACTGAAGAATCTAGAGATTTCCGAAATTCAATATTAACTGGTTTAACTAAACACTGGTCCTCCGCTTTTTTTAAAACACCCATAAGGGAGAGAAGTCCAACCTGCCAAGCCTTGAACCACATAAGCCAATGTGCAAGTTGAATTTGTGGCTTAGAGTTCCTACTATAATGAATGGACCAATTTGAGGGATACTAGTTAGAAAAGCAGGTGTTTTAGAAAGAGGGTGACATGTAATAGCAAACACATGGTTTATCAGTAACTATTACTTTTATCTTCAGAATAGACGTGTAATTATAAGAAAATGAATAAAATTTTGCATTTTATTAGTGGCAGTGGTCCACAAATAGATCAATAATAGAAAGTGTGGTTGGAAAAGTAGAATCTACGCCTTTTAATTATGTTTGTTGTAAATAATGTAATTATGTTTTGATATAGATACTTACGCATTGCCATCTGTACACCCCGGCTTTTCAAATCGTATTAAATTTAGTTCTGTGTTTTTGTTGGAGCTTGATGTATATCATGTATTCATGTATCCACCACATCTACATTTTTTTCACATTTGTTTGTGTAATTTTGAACTTTTTTTTGTTTGGTATGTCTATTACCTTACACATTGCCTCTCCACATGGAAGATGTGGCTACAGGTGAGAGAGGCTGTAAGAGCTTGATATACGTTGTTGGGCTCATTCCTCACAATTTAAGCTTGATGGCAATTGATAGTCTTAATACATTTAACACTGACCCACCCACCATAGATTTTTATTATTTTTTATTTTTATCTCTCAAAAGTTGTTCTGTTTAATCAACCACAATCAAATGTCCGTTTATTATTTTAATACAGCCAAATTTCTGGAAAGATCCAGAGGCAGCAATAAGGAATGCATACTGCTCCACTGATAAATTTATTCTGGAGAACTCTATGCAATTAGGGCCCGGTGGCTCAACAGCTGTAACTGCAATTGTTGTTGATGGCAAAGATCTATGGGTGGCGAATATTGGTGATTCCAGAGCTGTAGTATCTGAGAGGGGCTCTGCCAAGCAACTTACTGTGGACCATGAACCACGCACTGAACGAAGAAGGATTGAAAAGCAGGGTGGCTTTGTCACTAAACTTCCTGGTAAACATATTTATCTTACAATGCTACTACACTTAAATGATATTCTTTGTGGAGATTTTAGCTGACAATGCCTCTGAAGTGTGTAAATTTGCAAGTCAACCCAAATACAGATAGCGAGTGGGTATTTGCATAAACTTGATATGATTTCAATGCCAAATTGGATTTGGAGTGGGATCGTAAAGTTTTAATAGATGCTTCTTGTAATGAAAATTGATCTCTTATTTCAGGAGATGTGCCTCGGGTTAATGGTCAACTTGCAGTTGCACGTGCTTTTGGAGATCAAAGCCTTAAAGCACATTTAAGTTCAGACCCTGATGTACGACATATACCAATTGACTCGACTATAGAGTTCATTATATTGGCAAGCGATGGCTTATGGAAGGTCAGTTGTTACACCATCTTAGTGATGGGCACTCTTATTCCTTTTCTCATTCAATTTCTTTCTCAATTATTGTGCTAGATTCCTTGTTTTTACGTTCAAGAATGATTACTTTTTGCTCGGAATTTCTAAGCTAAACTAATTTTTCTTTTTGCTCAGAATTTCTAAGCTAAACTAATTTTTTTATTCTAGCTATATTACTGACTATTTCTTTGCATTATTAATATATATATATATATATATATATTCATATTGTGACTTTCTTTTCGTCTTATAAATTCGATATTGATTTTGACACTCTTCAACAACTCTTTTGTGGTGTTTTGCCTACAATGCTGTCAGGTTATAACCCCTCCCATATATACCATGTGTCCCAAATTCAATCTCTCTGATCAGCTAATGGTAGTTATATGATCTATAACTCATATTTGCATTCATAGAAAATTCAACGGATCTGTGATTTAGAGTTATGTGGGTGGGACTTGTGACGTAGAGTGCCATGTGGATGGGACTCATGATTTTAGAGGGCTGTGTGGATAGGGCTTGTGACTTGCAACTTCAAATCATGTATAGTTTTCATGTTATGTATGAACCAAAGACCAGAAGATTGCAAGTAATTTTACAATCTATGGTACTGTGTGGCTTCAAGATGTAATGACATACATGATAAGGTGCTTACCGGTGGTAAAATTTAAGAATTTTTTCTTATGTGGGCTAGAATAGATAATTACACTTGCTTGGTTAGTTACCATCTTCCCATTGAACGTACCAACAAAAATATATCAGAAGAGAGTAGAACCTTCCTATGATTACTACAAGAGAATTGTTAAAATTCTTACTTCTGTGACACTTTGTGGTTTTATATTATGCATTGCCAGGAACACAAGAGGAGCTTGTATTTCCTCATCAGCCAATGCCACAGGCATACAAATATCACAACGTTACTCATTCTGTTTCACTAAGCATTGGGCACTAAAAACTGAAACAAGTAACTGAAGAAGCCTTCTGTTTGTGGTTTTAGGCACTCGTCTTCTCTCCATTGTTATTTTGTAAATGGTGATAGTTTCGGTGCTTCTAGTTTGCATCGGTAGCCCTAGATGGATGAGTACAAGAATTTGGTTTCTTGATGGTTAAGTTGCTAAACCATTTTAATACACTGTGAAGTTCCGCATGTCTTCTAAAGATTGATTTATGCTGACTTGGGACCAAATATCAGTTCTCATATAAATTTCAAAGTATGAAAGATTGACTAATTATTGTATCTCGTAAAGTAATTCTCATATAAACACAGTATGTATGTATACATATATATGTGTGTAGAGTGTACAGGTGCGTCTTTATGAATATTTTGAAACCCCACTTTATCCATGTGTACAAATTAGCATTTATCTATTTATCCCCTTTATCCTTACAGCATATATGTATATATATAGGAGGCAGATGAAAAATGCATGTCCTTTCTGATCGATTCTCATATCTAATTATAGATTGCGGGCAAAAGAAAAAATTGCATTGGATTAAGCCCAAGTGCAATTTTGTTCCCTCTGCATGTAGTAACAGCTTGGACATGTTGGATTAGATAAAGATGTTGTATCATCTCATATGTAGGTTGAGAACTAATACTGAAATAATCGGTGTGCTCTGATGAGCAGGTGATGGCAAACCAAGAGGCAGTTGACATGGTGAAATCTATTAAAGATCCTCAGGCAGCGGCCAAACGTTTGACAACGGAAGCATTGGCGAGAAAGAGTAAAGACGATATTTCATGCATTGTGATCCGCTTTGGGTGATGCTTGGGTATAAATTGTGCACCATCACATCCACTTGAATCACCCTGCTTTCTTCTGGTTCCATTGGATGGTTCAGATGGTGATAATGTGACTCAAAGAGCTTTTATGTGGTTACATTTTTTCCTTGCAACAATAGTTATGTTGGTGTCAGTGTGATTCATATTTCTGTTTTAATAGGGGAAGAGAATATCTCATTAATCCATGACCGACCCCTTTAACTTGCATGTGCCCATACACAGTTTTTTCTTTTTCCTTTATTTATTTATTTATTTATTTTGTTCCTTTTTTTTTGTTTTTTTTTTTTTTTTTTTTTGGGTAGGTGAGGAGGGTGAGGTGAGATTAATGAGGTATTCCTTATTTTTACTGGACAGTAAAGGGTGAAGGAGAGAAAAATCATTTATATATGGTGTGTACATTAATGGACACAAATAAATTGAGGAGGAACATTCATTTAAATATTTGAGTTGTATATTCACTTTTTATTTTAGTCTTAAATTTGTAGTACTGTAATGTTTATTTTGTCACCCATCCAATCAGCAGGACATTTACCAAAGTGATTTATTTTGATTTCAATTGAATATATTATTCATTGGTGATAGTGTCGTACGTAGTATTTAACTTTTAAGTTGCGAAACCCTAGGTGCTCCATGATAAGTAAATTGTTATGCTAGCTACTCCTGGCGTAATATTTTTTAAATAATGTTAAAATTTTGAATGAAGTTGATTAGTTTTCAAGTGACTGTTGTAACAACATAATGGATCATAACTTCATGTCCTAGAACAAAATCAACAGCCCACTGGTGTATTTTTTTATTTAATTATGATAATCTATAAAGGTGAGATGAGAGTCATGAGACCAGAACTAATTGTTTATTGATACGCGATGACACAATTGCAATGGATACTTTCAAGCTTGGGACAATATTTGTCTACATTTCTAAAACAAGTATTGTCTGATGGTGCTCCAAAACACCAACATAAGAAAATTTTAGAAGCAAAATTAGAGACATGCAAAAATACATTAGAAGCATAAAGACTAATGATTAAGTCAAACAATTGAAGCCAAAACATTATTCAGAATAAACAGTCCACAAACCAACAAATTTTCAAACTGTTTTATTTTAGTTTTTTAAAAAATAAAAAAATTATTCTAAAACCAAATAAACCATAAATTGCACTAAACAGGGCCATGTTTATAGTTCAATCATGTATGTTTTGAGTTTTGACAATAGAGTGAATGCGGCGTAATGACAATTGACTATATATTTTTGAACTTGAACTGAATTTATACACAAAATACTACTACTTGTATTACAAATTATATATATATATATATTGTGAAGTGTTAACACTCGTCCCAAACATGTGCATATTATATAATCATATGAATTTATAAGAATACAAAACAAAAGAGAAACAAAAATGAAACTACAAATATATCATTGCTAAACAACCAGCCCTTAAAAGAGAGACACCAACAGATCATCACAAGAAAAACACACCATTATGTAGCAACTTGATTGCATCTAATCATAAAGAATTGTCAATTTTCAGTAGTAGGGAATAACTGGCGGAGGAGGAGATGCGTAGGAGACTCCTATAACTGGCGGTAGGGGCATGTTATCGGGTGGCGGTGGAGGCGGCGGTGACGGCGGCGGTGACGGCGGCGGCGGTGGTGGTGGTGATGAATATGAGTACTTGTTGGGTGGTGGGGTCTGAGTATGTGATGTTGGTGGGTGATGCCAATGTTGTGCAGGAGGTGGGGATGGCGGTGAATGGTGATAACTTGGTGGTGGTGGCATTTGGAAGGGCGAAGGCATAGAATGATGACTTGGTGGCGGTGGTGATCCTGGAACACCACATCCAGATGGAGGCGAAGGAGGGAGGGGATGCAACGGTGCTTGTGGCGGAAGTGGTGTTTGAGGTGGTGGAGCTGGGGTTCCTGTGGTGGGTGGAGAATGCTCTGCTGGTGGTGGAGCTGGAGATGTTGAATATGTTGGTGGAGGGGTGGGTCCTACATATTCGAAATGAGGTGGAGGTGGTGGCGGTGAGTGACTTTCATAAGCTGGCGTTGGAGTCTCGGCTCCCCATCCTGATGGTGGGGGCGGCGGAGAGTGACTGTGATAAGCGGGCGTTGGAGCTTCGGCTCCCCATTCTGATGGTGGCGGTGGTTTATGTTGATAAGTGGGCGGTGAGCTTCCAACTGCTGGCGGTGGCGGAGGTGGTGGTGGAAGATGCGTCTTTGGTGACACTTTTTCAGTAGGAGGTGGTGGTGGTGTCACATGTTTATAAGTAGGCGGTGAGTGCCAAACGGGTGGTGGGGGTGAATATGCAGGCTCCGAGGGGGTATGATGAAACGGCGGTGGCGGTGGCGGTGGCGGTGGAGGGAGATGAGTTCCTGGTGAAACTTTTTTAGTAGGTGGTGGCGGTGTCGGAAGAGATTGGGGTGGTAGCGGAGGCGACGGCTTTGACGGAGAAGGAGAAGGAGATGGAGATGGAGAAACTTGTGGAGTCGATGGTGGCGGTGGAGGGTGTGATTTAAAAGAAGGAGACGACTTTGAAGAAGGCGGAGGAGGCGCCTGAGACGACCTCCACGGCGTTGGTGGCCTATTCTTAACAGGAGGCCTCATCTTAGGCGGTGACAACGATGGCAATTTACCCGGTGATGACCCACCACCACCACTCGAACCACCGCATTTAAATTTCCGACAATCAACAGGTCTAGCAAGACTAGAAGCACATTCCATGACAGACCTCTGATTCGCCTTCCCGGAAATACAGTTCTTCACACCATCAACCACCTTTTTACCCAATCCACACACCGGAGCCTCACCGGTGAAGTAGTTATACGAATAAGTGAAGTTCTGTAATCTCGGAAGCAAGCAAACGCTGGCCGGTATAACACCGGTCAGCAAATTATGTGCAACATTCAACTGCTCCACACTCTTCATCTTCCCAATTTCGGGAACCAGTGGTCCCTGCAATCTGTTGAAGCTCACGTCCAAAACGGTCACCTTCTTCAATCTTCCAACCTCTGACGGAATACACCCAGTGAGATTATCATTCATGAGTATGATCTCGTTGAGTGTATTACCCATTTTGCCAATGCTGGACGGAATGCAGCCACCGAGGTTGTTGTTGGCGAAGACGAGGACGGACACCGGTGAGTTCCCGAGGTTCGCCGGAATTCCGAATCGGAATCTGTTGTCATTGAGGAAGATGGCGTCGAGGTCTTTGTCGAAGAGCTTGTTGGGTACAGAGCCTTCAAACTCATTGAATCGGAGGTCTAAGTACTTGAGGGAAGGCAGAGAGAGGACCACTTTGGGGAAATTCCCGACGAAGCGGTTGTTGCTGATGTCGAGCTCGTGGAGGAGCTTCATCCGCTTGAAGGTCTCCGGGACGACGCCGCAGAAGCGGTTGGAGTTGAGGTGGAAGAGGGCGAGGTCGGAGAGGAGGCCGAGCTCCGGAGGGAGGTATCCGGCGATGTCAGCGTGGTTAAGGTCAATGCCGGCAACAACTCTCATGGAGGCGTTGGAAGGAGACCGAGCACAGAATACTCCGCCGTAGGAGCAGACATTTGGGCCTACCCAGTTGGCGGTGAAGTTGAATGGATCTGAGAAAATGGAGGATTTCCATGCTTGGAGAGCAATGTAGGCTTGACGGATTCTTGGGTTTTCGAAGCTGAGCTTATCCGGATCAACATCGTCATCGTCCGCTGAACAGATCTGAAATGTAAATAAGAAGATGACAATGATGAAAATGAGAAAGAAGAAGCTCAAGCGATTAGGCATTCTCTGTTTCTCTTGTTTTGATTTAGAGACTCAGAGAGTTGTGTGTGCATATATATATATATGTGTGTCTATATATGTACATATCACATGGATTAGGGATGTTTGGAGTTGTTTCCAGCTTGTTTAATGATCCGAATGGACACTGCCCACACCTCTCTCTCTCCAATCCTTTTGTTTTATAGAGGGTCCAACAATATTTTGCTTTTCTTTATTCTTTTCTCCTATGGGTGAGAACAATCTAGTGTGACAAACAGGTGTGTTAGTTGAGAGAGGATGACTTTTTTGGTCCGTGCGATTTGATCAAAAGGTCGGATAGTGGGACCCAACTCAATGATTTAGGGTTTGCTTTTAAGTTGGAGAGAGGGGGTGACAGATGGGTCTCTGCAACTGGTCTGAGACGTGTCTTCCTGCAAGCTTTTATTTCTATATTTATTAGTACTATCTTTATAGTATCATTGTGTTGTGTATTGTACATTATTTAGTGTAATATAAATTGTGTGACAATGAATCTATGTATATATATCATTATTGACATGCCAGCACGTCTCGGGGAGGTTTCATTTTATTTTTGTTTTAATATGGTAATAAGGGGAAGACTATAAGGAGTGAAAAATGGCAGTCCAAAATTCAATGGAAGGGAAAGAAGAGTGCGAAAACCTATTGCACATTGACTTTAAGTTACTTAGAATATATTATGAGTTATTTATTATTAGACATGTAAACAAATATCAAAAATATATATATTTTATTTATTTTATTTTTTGTTATATGTCTTGATCGGAATTATTAGTTCCTGAACCATCTAAACATTTGTGAACATTATAACACAATTAACACTTTGTCCCACACTACGGCTTTGCTTTGAAATTTTCTCATATTTTGCGGAGACATCAATAGTTGAAGATGCAAGAAACTCCTTCTATTCTTTCTCTCTCTAGAATTCTTACACCTCAACCCGAATCAAGATCCTTCTCCTCTTCATTCCAACTCCTATTTATAGATACTTACCAGATATTTACAAGATATTTACAAGATATTTACTAATTGCTGGACCTGGGCCTATTCCTCAGTAAGCCCTGGTCACTCTTGATGGGCTTACTCCCGCTCGGCCCATATGGCAGTGTCTTTTTATGGGCTGACCCAGCTGTTCGGACTGAAGGTTGTGTTTTGCGAGTCGGACCTGGCCCATGTCATCCAGGGCCTCCTCAACTGCCCCCATAATTGCCCCTTATTTAATAAGGGGTAATTATTGATGGCGTCTCATCATGACGCTGACGGCTCGAGATAACCACGTGGGGGAGCGAACGGTCAGATCCAGAATCAATGTTCCGGGGTTCGAGGGATTTCTTGCCTTCCCGACGCTTCGGCCCTCGGGCCCCCTTGCCTATATAATGCTCTTGAATTCCACTTCACTTCCCTTTACCGTCTCCATCTTCAGCCAAATCTCCCTCTTTCTAGAACTGTGCTAAGCCTTTTCCGGTGAAATCCTTCGAGAGTCATTCTCCCAGCGATCTTGCAGTCCTCCGAGGTTAGTTTCGTTCTTTTTACTTTCGGCAGGCTTCCATTTTCCCTCTTTTAGATTCTTCTTGCACTTCCACCATGGTTGTAGATCTGGGTGTTCTTCGTATGAGACTTAGACTTCCTGACAACATCGTAGTTAGGGTTTGCCCCCAAGACGTTAATATTACGACCGGCGCCGGCCTCCTGCCCGGCGAAGTCTTATTCACAAACCTTCAACTGAATGTTGTTAGGTTCCCTCTGCACCCTTTCTTTAGTTACGTCTTCAACAGATTGGGGATATCCCCTCTGCAGGTCAACCCCAACTTCTTTAGGATCATATCTGTTATGCTCTTATTGGTGCGTGACAGAAATCTGGACCTTGACCTCATAGACCTCCTTCTGTGCTATAAGGTCAGTAAGATCCGTACTAACGAGCCCTTCTACCACCTCTATCCGTTCGAGAAGATGTCCATATGCACTGACACAATAAAATCTGAAAAGGGTTGGAGGGATAGCATAGTGGGTATTAGTGGGGCTTGGTCTTCGCCGGCTGCAGAGGATTACCCAATCCCGAGCGCCTTTGGTGTCTGCTCTGTCTCCTCCTATAAAAAATTCAAATCCCATAAACACGACTGCCCCTGTGAAACATGCGTTCCTCGTTTTTGCACTTACTTATGCCGCTCCTTGGGAATACCTTGTGATGACTTGAGCTACAGTGTTTGCAGGGATAGGATTAACTACTTGAAGAGATACGTTCTGAACGATATTCCTTCCTGCTCAGATCTCCTCACTTCAGACAACCTCTTTGCGCTCTCATCACTCGGCTACAATATGAGCAGACTGCAGATTCCCTCTTTTGGCAGGAGGAAAAATACTCCCCCAGTCATTCCTGCTGCTGGGGCGACCTCCTCTCCAGCGTCGGCTTCTTCTTCAGCCACCATATCTGACACTGTCCCGAGCGCAGTGGCTACTAACCCTGCTGCCAGCGCCCCTGCGGCCAACCAGAACTCGCCCTCCCCAGCTACCATAGCTCCTGCTGCTGCGGGGGGCGGTCGGGACAAAGAGCGAGGCAAAAGGCCTCATCCTGACAGTGAAATCGACCCTGAGGAGGAGCCTCTTATTAGAAGGACCCGAGTCTCTGGGCCGGGTACTCTCTTGCACTGAGCGATCAGAGCTCCTTCTCACTCTGGGCCTCCTGCAGCTGGTGGCTCTGCTTCTGCTTCAGGCCCCCCTTCTATCCCCAGCTTGCCGCCATGGGCCCCTCGGTACACTCGAACGGATGGGACGTTCGTGAAACCGAACGAGACCATGCTGAAGGATGGCCAGACCGCTATGGCCTACTACAGGAGCATGTGGACTCCGAAGGACATTGAGGCGGCAAAGGGCCTTTCCCAGAAGGACGTGTTCAGTCGCTTTCCCCAATCTGCTATGGAGGTGACTTTTATTTTCTAACTCATGAATTCTCTTATATTACTTGGTCTTGCCTTCTCCCGTTCTGACTATTGGTTTAACCGTTCTTATTGTGCACCTATGCAGACATTGTTTGGGATGATGGCCATGCAGAAGCAGGTGGAAATGGGGAACGCCAGGGCCCGAAAGTATTCTGACAGCCTGGAGGTGGCTAATAAAGAGAACGACCTCCTTGCCATGAAGAATACCGAGGTGCTGGTTCGGCTTGACAAAGCCGAGCAAGAGAGAGATGTCCTGAAAAAGGAGAATGATTCCCTTCAGGATGAGAAGGACGCCCTCCAGCTCGAGAAGAGCGTCTGGCAGACTGAGCAGGAATCACTCAGAGAAGAGAAGGCAGAACTCCAACGTCTTCTAGCTGATGAACAGTCTGCTCGGATGGCTTTTGAAAAAAGAGCTCTGGACGAGCGTACCGCTCTGATCGACGCTATCAGCAGAGTGGGTGGTGGGATGCTGGCCCTTCATGCTCGGTTCTCCAGGGTCGGTGCTCTTCGGTATGCTCAAGGATTCCGGGAAGGCTTCGCCGACCGGGTTCCGGATGAGGGACAGACCAGCTCCACTCCGGATGAGGTAGACAAGGATCTGGGGATCGAGCCTCTGGGGGTCTATGTCGACCCAGAACCCACCGAAGCGGAGCGTATATTTGATGAGTGCCAGGACATCGCATCCTCAAGGATCATCACAGCTCCTCCTACCGCTCTGCCACTGACCGCTCCCCAATCGTCAACCGTGGCTCCCTCTGTAGCCACTGCTGACGCTGAACCCCAGCCGAACGACTCAGTTATTCACCTGGATTCCCCACCTCATGAAGGTGAGGCGGCTGATGGGGCCGAGGAGGCGAGTCGGCAGGACCAGGATGCTGTTGGTACTGAGGCGTCTAGCTAGGGCTCCTTCGAATTCTTCCAGTTCATATCTTCTTGTAATGATGGACACCTCTCTTTTGTAAACTAAATGTTCAATATTAATGAAATGGCCGAACTCTTTTTCTCTATGTGTTGTGCTCTGTTCAACTTATCTTCAGTACATATATATCTTTTCTCTCTTTTTCTTTTTATATTAGTTTTGCTGTGTGTTTGTACGGCAAGTGCCTGGCGCTCGGCTAGAATGCCACTTGCCACTTGGCTTTAAATTTTTAGCAAGTGTCTGGCGTTCGGCTTATAGTGCCAGCTGCCACTTATCTTGCTTAAGTGCCTGGCGCTCGGCTAGAATGCCACTTGCCACTTGGCTTTCAATTTTTAGCAAGTGTCTGGCGTTCGGCTTATAGTGCCAGCTGCCACCTATCTTGCTTAAGTGCCTGGCGCTCGGCTAGAATGCCACTTGCCACTTGGCTTTCAATTTTTAGCAAGTGTCTGGCGTTCGGCTTATAGTGCCAGCTGCCACCTATCTTGCTTAAGTGCCTGGCGCTCGGCTAGAATGCCACTTGCCACTTGGCTTTCAATTTTTAGCAAGTGTCTGGTGTTCGGCTTATAGTGCCAGCTGCCACCTATCTTGCTTAAGTGCCTGGCGCTCGGCTAGAATGCCACTTGCCACTTGGCTTTCAATTTTTAGCAAGTGTCTGGCGTTCGGCTTATAGTGCCAGCTGCCACCTATCTTGCTTAAGTGCCTGGCGCTCGGCTAGAATGCCACTTGCCACTTGGCTTTCAATTTTTAGCAAGTGTCTGGCGTTCGGCTTATAGTGCCAGCTGCCACCTATCTTGCTTAAGTGCCTGGCGCTCGGCTAGAATGCCACTTGCCACTTGGCTTTAAATTTTTATAGTAGACCATTGGAAAAGAAAATTCTTCTCTTCTTTTTTTGTAAATTCCGGTAACTTGCTCATTCATATGTATTTGATTAACAACAAATAACATCCAATTAAAACCAGAACTTAGCTTCTATTGATAGTACCTCTTCAGAGACGTGGCGTTCCAGGGCTTGCTGACCAACTTTCCCGCCATGGTTTCCAACGTATATGCCCCTTTGCCAATGACTTCTGCAATTCTGTATGGGCCTTCCCAGGGTGGCATCATTTTTTTGACCATCCCCACCTTTCTTTTCAGAACCAGATCGCCCGGGGCAAAATCCCTGTGTTTTACTCTCTTATTGTGACTATTCGCCAGCACTTGCTGATACGATGCTAGCCTTATAGCCGCTGCGTCCCTCCTTTCGTCTATCATGTCGAGGTTCAATCTTAACATCTTGTCGTTCTGATCTCGACTCCATGCTAAGCTTCTGATAGTGGGGACTAAATGCTCAACCGGTATAACTGCTTCGGTACCATACGCCATCGCGAACGGGCTCTCCCCAGTCGGCCGCCTTGGGGTGGTTCTGTAAGCCCATAGAACGTTCGGGAGTTCATCCAACCACTTCCCCTTATGATCTTCCAGCTTCTTCTTAATGCAGGCGAAAATGGTTCTGTTTGTGATTTCTGCTTGTCCGTTAGCCTGAGGATGACTTACTGCAGCCAACTTCTGGTTGATTCCATACTCCTCCAGCAGCTTTCTTACTTGCCTGCTGTCGAGGTTTGTGCCATTGTCCATGACTATTGTTCTGGGAACACCGAAGCGGCAGATAATGTTGTTCCAGATAAATCGTCTCACCTGAGTCTGAGTCACGCTAGGATACGGTTCTGCCTCCACCCATTTAGTGAAATAATCCGTGGCCAGTAACACATACTTGTTCTGAGCTCTTGCAGTTGGCAGAGGACCGACCACATCCATCCCCCATTGCGCGAAAGGCCACGGCGAGGCCATTACGTGCAATTCTTCAGGTGGTTGGTGGATCATTGGTCCATATCGTTGGCACTTATCGCACCTTCGAGAGAACTCCTCCGCATCTCTTGACATGTTTGGCCAAAAATACCCTTGTGTCATTGCTTTATGCGCTAACGATCTTCCCCCAGAATGATTGCCACACACACCCTCATGAATAGCTCGCAATACCTGCTGCGATTCCGCGGGGGTGACACATTTCAAGTACGGGCCAGAATAGGACCTTCTGTACAGCTGGTTCCGCACGATGGCGTACTTGGCAGCATTCTTTTTGAGTTTCCTAGCTTCATCCCTTTGCATAGGCAAAACGCCATCTCGAATATAGGTAATGATTGGGTCAATCCAACTCGGTTCATACGGTATGACGTTGACTTGCCAAGGGTCCGAGACCATCGGTTCTTCGAAAATGGACGGCTGGGTCACTATTCCCACTGGAATCACCCTCGCCAATGTTTCACCGCAACTTGAAGCACTGCATGCTAAACGGTCTGCAACTGCATTCTGTTCCCTCGGCAACTGTATGAATTCAATCTTTGCAAAGTCCTTGGCTCTACGCAGAACGGCAGAACGGTATGCCCCCATCATGTCATCCTTGGTTGCGTACTCACCATTTACCTGCCGAACAATCAGCTGCGAGTCACTATACACTGTCAAACTTTTGATCTGTAGCTCTTTGGCCAACTTTAATCCATTTAGCAACGCCTCGTATTCCGCTTCATTATTGGTGGCTCGGAACTCAAGTCTGAGTGCTTGGCTCAAGGAAGTACCCTCTGGGGTTTGCAGTTTGATCCCAATCCCAGCCCCCGTCTGGTTAGAGGAGCCATCCACAAAAAGTTTCCAAGAGCCGCTTCTAAGGTCCTCTTCCGTATCTTCGGCATCACATTCTAGTAGGAAATCGGCCACCGCTTGCCCTTTAATAGCTGTTCTCGGCTCGTACGTTATGTCAAATGAACTCAACTCTATGGCCCACTTTGTCATTCTGCCCGAGAGCTCTGGCTTGTGCATGAGCGTTCTGATTGGGAAAGTTGTTAGAACAGCTATGGGGTGGGATTCAAAATAATGCCTTAACTTTCTTTTTGCATTTACAAGTGCAAGTACCACCCGTTCGGCCTTTGAGTATCTTTTTTCTGCCTCCATCAGTGTTTTGCTTACATAAAATACTGGGTATTGCACCCCTTCCTTGCAACGAATCAGAACGGCACTCGTCGCGACACCAGATACTCCAAGATATAGAAATAACTTTTCTTCCGGTTCTGGGGCTGACAGGACTGGCGGATTCTGCATATATTGCTTTAAATGAGTCAATGCCTGTCGTTGCTCATCCCCCCAGACCTGCCTTCCATGGCTCCGAATCGTGTCAAAGAATGGTTTGCAGTGGTCTGACAACTTTGAAATAAATCGACTTAATGCAGCTATTCGTCCTGTTAGGGCTTGCACCTCTCTGATCGTCTTTGGCTCGGCATTCTTAATCAAAGCCTCTGCTTGAGCGGGGCTAACTTCGATGCCCCTGCGGTTGACCACGTGCCCCAGAAACTGCCCGGAACTCACACCGAACGAGCACTTGGTCGGATTGAGCCTCATCCCATATCGCTTTAGTACATCAAATACCTCTTGCAGATGCTTCAGATGATCATCCTTTTTCCTACTTTTCACCACCATGTCATCAATATAGGCTTCGACAATCTTACCCATTTGATTCTTAAAAACTTTGCTGACAAGTCGTTGATAAGTTGCTCCCGCATTCTTTAATCCAAAAGGCATAACCTTGTAGCAGTACGTTCCTCGCTCGGTGACAAAAGAAGTTTTTTCTTCATCTGCGGGGTCCATAGGAATCTGATTATAACCTGAATATGCGTCCAGAAAGGTTAAACGCTCATACCCCGTGGTGGCATCCACCATTTGATCAATCTTAGGCAACGGGAAACTGTCCTTCGGGCAGGCTTTGTTTAAATTGGTGAAATCAATGCATACGCGCCATTTCCCATTTTTCTTCTGCACCACAACGACGTTGGACAACCACTCAGGGTAGTGCACCTCTCTGATAAATCCCGCATCAAGCAGCCTATCAACTTCTTCCGTTATGATCTGATTACGTTCTGGAGCAAATCTTCGCTGCTTCTGTTTCACTGGTTTGAAATTAGGATTGACATTCAGGGAATGACAGGAGACGGAAGGACTAATTCCAGGCATGTCGAGATGACTCCATGCAAATACGTCGACATTGTGGGATAAGAAATCCACTAGCTCTTGCTGCTCTTCTCTGGTCAGTCTTATACCCACTCTGGTAGTTCGTTCTGGCCTGGACTGATCGATCTGCACATCCAGAAGGGGCTCCTCGGTCAAGTCGGCTGACTCCTCCACCCTATTCTGCTCGAGTGGAGGTTCCTGTAATTGCTATCTGGGGCTTGTCGACCGGACGGGCGCCTTTCCCTTCCCTGCATGCTTTAGTGTGACGGAATAACACTCTTTGGCTGCGACCTGATCCCCCCGAATGTCTATCACTTTATCTCCATCGGGCCCGAGGCACCTCATGACCTGATGCAGAGTTGAGGGTACACCTCGGACTCTGTGAATCCATCCTCTTCCCATCAGGAGATTATACGAGGGGTGAATTTCCACAACCACAAAAGTTTCCATAAGAGCTCGCTCTGCAGCTTGAACTTCTACTTCCACCATCCCGACGGGTTCCACCCTCTTCCCATCGAACCCTAATAAGGGATTTCCGGTGGGCTTGAGCCTCTCTGGTTTAATGTCGAGCCTGTCAAATGTGTCCCTCGGCATAACATTCGCACTGCTCCCAGGATCGATCAGAACTCTGCGCACCAAGCACTCTGCCACTGTCAAACTGACCACCAACGGGTTGTCATGAGGCAGTTGGACACGCTGCAGGTCTGTCCAGTCGAACTTTATCTGCATTGACGGGCTCTGTTGGTGTAGAGTGGTCACATTGCCGACCCTTTTCTTCATCTGCGCCTGCCGCAGGCGCACCCGTAGCAGCTCATCTGGCTCTTCACTAGGCTCGGGTCGACCATGGATAGCATTGATTATACGAACTGGTTGCGAATTGTGGGAGCTTTGTTTATGACTCCTTTTTATTTGTTCCACTGGTCGATTCTGCTCCATCGCCGAGCCTTGAACATAACTCGCAAACTCCCCTCTAGCTATCAACATCTCCACTTGCCTCCTCAGGTTCCTGCATTCGTTAGTCTGATGTCCGAAATCAGAATGAAAAGCACAATGTTTAGTTTGATCCCTCTGTTCGAGGGGTTGTCTAATTGGCAGTGGTGGATGAAACTTGTCCTTGTTCTCCTGATATAACCTCGCCAGAGTGACCTTCAGCGGAGTAATCAACTCTTCCTCCCTGGACCTTTTTTCGGCCTTCCAAGTGGTCTGACGTTGCGGCTGAGCCTGCTTCTGCCTGATCTTTGCCTTGGACTTTTCCTCGGTCGACACAAGCGACGTTGTCCGAGCATTAGCTGCCTCCTCTTCTTCGAGGCGCACAAAGCCATCGGCTCTCTCATTGAGTTCATCCATGGTAGCTGGCGTATTCACTACCAGACTGGTGTGAAACGGAGTTCCGCGTGTCATGGCTAACTTGAAGGCTTGAACTGCCGTAGTAGGATGGCATTCGATTACCATACTCTTAGTGAGATTAAACCTGGTAAGAAAGGCCTGGAGCCGTTCATCCTTGTGTTGCCACATCGTGAACAGGCTCGAGATGTCCTTCGGCGGGCGTTTGTTCCCATAGTACTGGCTTATGAACCGATCGCACAGGTCCCTGAAACTGCCAATGGAGCTCCTAGGCAAGTTTTTGAACCAGCTGAGCGCCGGTCCGGCCAAACTTGTAGGGAAGCATTTGCACATTAAAGAGTCGTTTTCCGTGTTCAGGGCCATTTTCAACTGGATATGATACACATGATCGATCGGATCGGTTGTTCCGTCAAACAGAATAAAGACTGGCATAGCAAACTTCCTTGGATGCGGCGCATTCAAGATCTCGTCGGTGAATGGTGAATCCACCGTCCGAGCTGCGGATCGGAGAGCTTCATTCTCTCTCTGGAGTCCGGCGGTAGCTCTGTGAGTTACGGTTCTGCCTTCCGAACCGTGATGAGTGACAGTAACCATGGAGGGCCGGTAAGACGGATTGAACGACCGTTCCTCTATGAACTCTCTCTGCCAAGGCGACGCTACTCGACGGCGATCTACCTCCATCACTTCCTCTCGGTCAAACCTTTCCCGCTGCGGATCAACGTGAGTCGAGCCTTCGTGATCTTCAACTCGACGAACATTTGGCGGCGAATTGTCCATCATCCTTTCATCACGGTGGTGAGCTGACTGATTGTTCTCGTTCTGATCGCCTTGATGCGCGATACTAGATGGAACACCTCCTTCTCCGACCGGAAGCGGATGCGAGACTGCGGGTATTTGCCGATGCTGCAATCCAGCTTTCAATTCTGCATTTTCTTTTCTGAGAGCTTCAATCAAATTCATCAACTCTTCAAGCTTTGTTTGCTGGACAGCCTCCATCGGATTGGAGCTTTCACCTATCATTATTCCCGAACGGAGTAAAGGCATTAATCTCAAGCTCGCGAGTAAATCTAAGCTTCGTGAGTAGGAATTTTTAGATCTGGCTTCTAATTCTCCGAATTATGCTCACTGTTTACAAGATCTGAATTGCCTGGACTCTAAATCCGTCAGATCCTGTCACAATCGAGCAACTCGCGGTTGCGTAGATCTGAAGTCACTCCTGCCAAAGCTTCAAGAATCGTAATTCCTCCAGAGTAGGTCACAATCGCTCAGATCTGGATTCAAATCCGCAAGATCGAGTCTCGATCAACCGAATTGGTTTGAATCCATTCGATACTCCTCATTGATCAACCAAACTTTTTTGCGTTTCCCACAGACGGCGCCAATTGAAGATGCAAGAAACTCCTTCTATTCTTTCTCTCTCTAGAATTCTTACACCTCAACCCGAATCAAGATCCTTCTCCTCTTCATTCCAACTCCTATTTATAGATACTTACCAGATATTTACAAGATATTTACAAGATATTTACTAATTGCTGGACCTGGGCCTATTCCTCAGTAAGCCCTGGTCACTCTTGATGGGCTTACTCCCGCTCGGCCCATATGGCAGTGTCTTTTTATGGGCTGACCCAGCTGTTCGGACTGAAGGTTGTGTTTTGCGAGTCGGACCTGGCCCATGTCATCCAGGGCCTCCTCAATAGTATGGCGATAAAATGCTTAGAACACATTCGAATCATTTAAAAACACTTTTGACTTTTTGATGCTCAAAGTTTTTTCTGGCAGATTCAAATCTTAAAGAGTCACTTTCAATAAATTATGTCAAAAGTTTCATTTGTATCTAATCTACTCCTCCTAACACTATTGATGAATTCATTCTGATCACATTGGAAAAGTAAATTATTTTCAAGGAATTACATAATAAATTTCTTAAAACTAGTTTCAAAAAAGTCAACATAGTTTCGAATTGTTTTTTTTATTTATCTAATATATAAGAACATAAATTTATTATAAATTTGAACCAGCCATTCCCTAAGTTAATTGTTCATCTTCTATTTTAAAAAATTGTCACTTATACTTTATGTTTTTTTTTAGGGACTTACCATATCAAGATGAATACTTTTATTTTTATTCACATCTGCAAAGTTTTTAGCTCACATCTAAATTGATATGTTCTGGGTGGTCAGTATTCTTTCGGAAATTTTTTTTTTTTTTTTTTTCAAGGTTTTATACTTTTTATTTTTATTTTTTATTGGCACAGAAACTCACCTAGACAGGGTTCTTTTGGGACCAACCCTAGACTACAAACCTGGGGGATTCTGTCAACGACCCCACACCTCAGCATCAATTTCAGTCAGGAAATATAACGGGAAAGAATAGGCTCAAACCTGGGATATATGGCACAGATCATTATCTTACAAACTCTGCCAAGTTTTCAGAGTTTTAGGTTTTATACTTTACAACTAAAAACAAATTAATGTTTTTTTGAATATTTATTTTTTGTACATTATTTAACTGATATTTTAGAAAATCTTAATAAAGAAGGGACGAAATTAATTTTACTGAGGGATTAGTATTACTCATATTACAATGCTGACAGTTCTAAACACACGGGTAAAAAGTCATAGTAAACTAAAAGTAACTTTTGATCTCCCTTTTCCCTCTTTCACAATCACAATAACTTGTGAAAAGCTTTATTAAACAAACGGACAGAGTCAATCTGAGTCAATCTCTCTTCAAGATATATTTTTGGGAAAATTACATATAAATGGAGTCAAAGTTTCATATTTACTTAGAGACTGAGTCAAAATTCCATATTTCTCTAAAATGGATTGCTGAGGTGGCACATGATTTTTTACTGTTTAAAAAATTGTGGTGCCTAAAATGCCCTTCCCTAATAAAAAAGTAGTACCTTCAGTTCAAAAAAGTAGTACCTTCAGTTCAAAAAAGTAATACATTCGGAGAAAAAGTAGTACCTTCACGAGTGTTTAAAAAACATGATACCTAGACGCCAAAAAGTAGTACCTTCAGTTCAAAAAAGTAGTACCTTCGAAGAAAAAGTAGTACCTTCGCGGAAGGGTATTTTAGGCATCACAATTTCTAAATAGTAAAAAACCATGTGCCACCTCAGCAATCCATTTTAGAGAAATATGGAACTTTGGTTCGGCCTTTAAGTAAATATGGAACTTTAACTCCATTTATATATAATTTTTCCTATATTTTTACTCCAAATCTACCCTCTGACAGAGAAAAAAAAAACTTTGTAATTTTATGCCAGAGAGACATGGGTCCCACAGATAGATACACCGTCTGCACGATCTTCAAGACTTTTTCAATTCTGAAAACGCGTTCCAGTACAACTATTCTTTTTTCTTTTCTTTTTCCCATCTGTGGGAGATATATATATATATATATATAGATTTGGCGAGGACAATAGTCGCTTGGAGCCTTTTCATTAACATAGATATTCGTACAGAAAACAACGATACTTAAAGATGCTCTGAATCACTGAGTCAAAGGTGACCTTCCAAGTTAACCAATGCTACTCAGTAGTGTTACAAAGGTTTCAATTGAAAATAAAAAACTTAAACCTAGCTTGATTTATGGTTCAAGAATTCAGAAAATAAAAAATTATTCTTAAAAAATTATAAAAATAATTCTGTAAAATTATAATCTTTTTATAACTAAATTTTTAGAAAATAATTTTAAAATATCCGAACCAAAACAGAATTTTCTTTACCGTTTTTTTTTTTTTGTTGAAGTTACAAACCAATCAAATCCTTAGTTTTCTCGATTTAATAGTGTTACAACTCAATCTAATATAAAAACTCAGATTTTTTTCGTTCTCCCATGGCGGTCAAGAGTACAATACCAATTTAATAAAAAAAAATAAGGCCGGTTTTGCTTCCAAAAATTTATACATCAATACACTGAATTTTAACTTGTGTACACATCAATACAAACATCAAAATGCATAAATTCTCGACTACTATACATACTTTGCAAATTTTTTGGAGAACATTCATCCAGCAATCTGCTCAACTCATCTCTCTTTCACATGCCACTTTTTAACAGCTCAAGAAGGATCCAGCCTGAACGTGGTTAATGAAATACAGAAACAAAATTTCCATAATCAACCGGAGAAACCAAACACTCAAAACAGATAAAGAGGAAGAACGAAAAGAACCCAGCCTCAATAATGTGCAGCTGACTTGTGACAAAACTGCTCAGCAGTTCGTTTTTAATGCATTGGGTGAACGACGAACATGTCCTAATCCAAGAATTAACCCTTAAAAAATAAATTTATCTGGAGGTGCTTCTTCTGGAATCTGAAGGAGAGAAGAAAACAATTGTAGTTAGATACGGAACTTATGCTTTCCAAGTAAATTATTATTTCACCCTTTTTAAACATCAAGCTGTGAAATAGTAATGAAGATTGGTTTTAAACTTAAAAGAAACTCTCTTAGGAGCAATTGTCATGATGGCTTTCTAACTTTTGATAAAGCATGGTTGCAGAACACCCAGGAAAAATGTTGCAGCCAAATCGCATCAGTGTGCGCGCATGTGTGATAGTCACTGGAGCCGGGGTCAAAATTGAGTTCCCATTATATAAAGAGATCGAAAGATATTTTGGTGAACTTCTGAAGCTTCCAGCATTTCAGGGAGAGAGAGAGAGAGAGAGAGAGTAATAGTAATAATTATCTGCCGAATCAAAATGTGTACTATAAATTAGACCTTTACCTCTCCAGGAATCCATTCTTCTTTCAACCAAACACTATCATCTGTTGAACCATTCTCCCTTGGCAAGTTAACCCTGCAGGATGGAATGACACATTAAAGATAATTATAAGCAAATGATAGATTATTAACAGTTAAAGAAATCCTAAGAAATATGAATCCTATCCAAATTTTTCTTTTGAGAGTAATATGAATATATAAAAAAATTTCCTCGCTTGTGGAATTCGGAAGGAGGAGGAGATGGTGGTGGTGGATTAATGAGGCGCTCCAAGAACACGAGGGAATTCAAGAATGTGAGTCACGGTGGTGTTTGATTAAAAAAGAAACATTCAAATGTAAAATTAGAAGATTTGGATTCTAAATAATATAACAGGAGGGAAGCAATTTAAGCTAAAAACACCACACACGGGGGATACTCCTTGCTTCCATGATCTTAAAATACATACAAGAAGGTAGGTTCCCCACCTGCCAACTGGTGTCCACTACTCTTTACAAATGACCCCTTTCCTGCCATCAGATGGCCTCCCAATTCCCAAGAACTTGTAATCAAATCAGGATTGGATTCAAGCCTCAATGGATCAAATCCAAATAGTGGCACTAAGGGTAGCTGGTTCCCAGTTTTGGTCTGGTTTTAATTGTGAATTTGTGGTATAAATTTTCCAATCTATAACTTCATAATTGATAATGTTTCTTTCTAAATTCCTAATTGCTTGCATTTATTACAAAATTCTCTCAAAAAAACTTACACCGTATGCACATTTAAGTTTGATTGTCCAACTGCATTAGAAGCAAGGTTAGGTCCACTTGGAATCTGAGATGAAACTGTCAATGTGGAAAACGGGTTTCGCTCAGCACTTGAGGCACTGTTGCTGAAGCTTGCTGCATTGGAGGCAAAGGAGACGCCAAATGACTGGTTAGGAAGTTGGCCGCCAAGTGAACCTGTCACATGATTGAGTCAGAGTGGAATACACATAAACATGCATACTAGTTTTGATAAGAAACCTTCAAACTTGCACCTGCATTTCCAAATGCCACATTGTTTGTCCCAAATGTACTTGAGGTCTGACCGAAATTTTGAAAGGAATTTGATTGCCCAAAAACATTATTTGGTGGAGTAGCAGGCCTGCAACAAAAGAAGACAAAGATAGCTCAACAGGTTTGTAAAAAACAAAGGGTTGCCTTGGGCCTTTGATAACTAGACTTCTGCATAAACCTTAAGCAATAAAAGAAACACTAAAGCTGTTCTACAGATCAACAGATTCCACGATTTGCAAAAATATAACAACGTACAAGTTCAAATTTTAGGAGGAAATCTTGCCTCAATCCGAACCCTGTATTAGGAGATGCATTCAGTTGGCTGAAACTTGAGACTGAAGGGGGTGCACTCTTTGGAGCGGCTATCGAGGATACATTTGGAGTGGCTCCAGAAAAAGGACTTTGGGTAGCAATAGCAGAATTTGGTGGAACTACGTAAGGATTACGAAGTAGACTTTCGTATTCAAGTAACTTAGAATTGAGTAAATTCCTCTCTCTCTCAACCTGCACAACATGTATTAAATCTGTGAGTGAGTGAAGAAAGCAATCCATCCAGTAGCTTATTAATGAACTATAGCATACTCCTTTCAGAAGTTGAGCCCACTAAGTCTTTATACCTAACACAGCTTAAAATCAAATGCTGAAACACAATTAATAATATGACCCTTCACTAAAACCAAATTATTAAAAAATAAAGAAAGAAAAAAAACACACACGGAGAAATAACCGTCTTTACTTGGTCTCACAAAAGCTTTTGTCTTGGGGCATATTTCTTAAGCCTGCCAAAGTGATTAATGAACAGCCAACAATATTTTCAGCTGCTAATATCCAGACTGTGTTAATGACTAGAAGTATCTTCCAAAAGTTTACCACTTCTAACAGCTGCATTTTGTTTTATCAGCTTAAGTAGTCTGTAAAATACTAAAAAGTATATTGCAACCTAACACTGCCATGACAGTATCAAGATAAAGGGTAAAATCAAAGCAACTCGTCCACTTCTTTTGCATTTTGAGTAACATTATTGAATGTATTCAGCTTATTCATGAATAAGAACAGAGAAATCACGGATAGAAATAGCGGAAGCCTGGGATAAAATTCCACTTTTCAAGTAATAAGAGGTTCCATGCTACTAACACAATCGATTCTTAGAAAATATATAATACTACTTTCAATTATAATAGCTAAAAGTATTAGTCGTGTGTTATTATTGCAATTTCCCGAGTGGTCTGAGGATTTAAAAGAATGGACTAGAGAAATGCATGCTCAAAGCACCTATAATGGTATTACAGTTTAAATTGGTAAGATATTAAGATATTTAGCCTCCATGGGGTAGCAAAGTCCACATAAGGCCCAAGTGTTCAATTCCTGGTGTGTCAAAAACCTCTTACCTGGGTTTACCATGGTTCAGGGGTGATTAACGGGTATCCAAATGGACTAATCCAATACCCAAAGGGGGTGGTCGGATCAACCTCCGTTATCAAAAAAATAAAAATAAATTGTACGACATTACATTTTTGGAAAAAGGGTAGTTAACTTCAAAGAGTTCGTTTGTTGCATTATGCTGTTGCCTCAAGCAAGTTAATTGGAATGATATGTGTGGATAAACAAGGAGAACGTCTCTCCTTACGCGTATAATGAGAATAATGCGAGGAATAATAAAAGATGAAAAATATTCTTATTATTTTTCCCCTTTTATGGCTAGCACGCAGCAGCCCCAAAGATCCCAGAATGTAAACTCAATTGACAGCTTTATTTATCGAGAAAAGAAAGAGAAGAAAGGGGGGGGGGGGGGGGGGGCGCTCAATTGACAGCTGTAACTCCATATTAAGAGGCGAAGCAAAAGGCTAAACCCACATTCCATTTGAGAAATGGTCAAGTGCAGCACCTAGTGATGCCCAAAACTTACATATAACCCAAACCAAGAGGCAGATTGTTTGGTAAAAATATATATAACCCAAACCACAGGGCAGATTGTTTGGTAATAATATATATAACCCAAAACCAAGGAACTAGTAAAATCTGCAATTAATCAATGCCTATGCATGGTTGTTGGTGCTCAAAAATTCCAAAATATTTGTCAATTGAGAAACTAAAATGCATGATCAATGTAATCTTCAAACAATATAGTGTCATCAAATAGTATGCTTAATAAAAAAATAATCTTGTCTTGATTAAAAGAGTTTGTTGTGCTTGCATTGCCACTTACAAAGGGCTTCAAAAACCTCAAAGAAAATGAATTCACGTATCACGCACTAATTCTATCACTCAATATGATAGATGCAACCTCAATCAAAGTCTCCCATGGTACTTTTTAAGATGTCACCTTCCTTACGTTTCACTCATGTTGATTTGATGATGCTCCAGTTTCATAAATAATATCATATCTGCACGTTTTTATTCCAGATCACATACCTTATGACTTCACATAAGCTGAATTGGATGTTGATGATGTATTATGCCACAAAAGATATTTTACTTGAAATAATTTTATTGATGTTTGGTTCACATATAATTTATACAAATCCAATCGATTGCCGGTGTTGAGTACATAGAATGGTGGTACACATTAGTTTTAAAATTCCACATTAGTAGAGCAACTTTAATACTTCAACTTATGATTTATGTTATCTGAAAAGATGGATAGACTGTATTCAGTAAAATCTTGTCCTCAGCAGAATCTCCTCTCCAATTACATGCTGATGTGTTTGAATTTGGGTGTGGCCTCCAAGACACTTTTGGGTTTACATGTGCATCTCAATTTGTATTGTATATATTTCCTAGTATTTTCATGTGTTCTAAATTTCAGTATCATTTTCACATGTTTCTGAAATCATCCCATTCTTTTTTGGATGACCATAATAATACCTTCTTTAATTTTATTTTCTTTTATAAGTAAGATTGATTTCATTAAACAATGCTCAAAAGTGGAGCGCTCCCAAAGGAATACAAAAGACGCACAAGGCGACACTATAATTTCATGCTATCCATGAACTCCAAAAGATGTCCTAAAGATTTACAATTTGTCCCATTGACCCAAAAGAATAAAGAAGATAGTATGTTGTATTTAAGAGACCAAGTAGGGGACTCCTCTCCATCAAAGGATCTCCTATTCCTCTCATGCCACAAACGCTACCATAAACAAAGGGGAGTGGCCCTCCACGCATCCCTGGCTCAGCTCTCCACTATACATCCTCTCCAAGCCTCTAACATATTAACCGTGGAAATGGGAAACAACCAAAATATGCCAAACATAACCAAGAACATAAACCAAATATTCTTCTGTAAATTTTATCAAAAATGACATTATGAAGATATAAACAGGAATCTAAACTAAAATTCCCACCTTTTAATTTTCACTTCCATACAAACTCAATATCTCCTATGATTTAGCTGCGTAGTTGATTTCAAAATGAAATTATAAGCAGCATGCATAAAGTTGAGTCCAGAGAATGCACAGGAAAAAGCCGTCAACACAGAATGTGCTATTATCTACCAAAAAAACAATTATACCAAAGTCAAATGTGGCATGTATTATCTTCTTACAATTGACTGTAAGCTCAACCCACGCTTAGAATCATCATATGCTGATGCCCGTAATTCTTCGTAGCTAATATCACCAACAATGTCACAAGAAGCACTGCAAACAAAAGAGTTCAGAGCTTATTCCAATATTTCATGGGATCTGTTCTCACCATGACAAAAAAATATAAAAATAATAATAAGAAGAACATGAATAAAAAAGAAGAGCATAGTGCAGTGCACTTGAAAAAAGACATACTTAAAATTTTAAAAAATAAAAAATTTAAAAATTAAAAAAGAAGAAGAAGTAGAAAATATTAATAACAATCACATCCCATAATAAGTTTATCACTAGTTTAGCAATCCACACAATATTCACAAATATCTGAAGTTCTGTGAATAATTCTACAATAACTTATGGGGCAGCTTGTTTTCTCCTTAACTTGCTTTGTACAAACCAAAAAAAAAGAAAAAAAGACTAATATATCTAACCAATAAACCACTTTGCATGGGCAATTGGGCTTTCTATAAATCATGTCCACCAACAGTTTAGAATGACAGACGTGTATATTAAAATCTTTGTATTGGAGCAAATGAATGCCATCAATGAAAACTCGCTGATGTGGAGTATACTTGCCAGAATAGGGGCAGACTAACAAGCACGGACACTTCTGAGAAGGAATTGTGTCCATTTTGGACGTGTGTTGGATACCAACATTTCTCAGACGCTCCACACATCTTGGACATGGGCATAACTTGAAAATGAGAATTCTTGGTTCAGGACACATGGCCAACAACTTTTGGACATGTGCTAATATGTGACCAATAATAAACCTTGGACTTTAGATAAGACTTTCATGGAAAAAAAATAATAATTATAAGAAAAATCAACTTCAAAGTTCAAATAAAATTTACATAAGTTTGATTATATCGAAAAAAACAAAAGATGTAGAGCAAAAAGTATAGAAAGGTTTCATTGAAGGAGTGGGAATGAGAGTAGCCAAGGAGACATCAAATTATACATATTAATTTACATATCAAAAACCATAGATACAGTTATGTATCATGTCCTTGTCATGTCTTTATCCCCTGCTCATGTGTGATTATAATATGATATGTAAGCTACAACATCATATTACAGCCACATAATATTTACATGTATACAATATGATTTATTATTTAGATATGAAAAATACATATCTTATTGCCATGTCCTCGATGTGCCCTTTTATTACTTTTTAAGATTTACCATGTCAACATATCCATGTCTTGTTGCATCATGATCACATCCATGCTTCTTAAGGGGCAACTCCGGAATTTCATAAAGCACCTTTGGAACTAATTCAATCAAGTTTGGGGTCAAATTCTGTCTTATTTCAGGTTAGTTTTACATCAATATATATTATTTTGGTCTTATTTATAATCCTTAAAATGTTTAGAATATTCATGATAGTCAAAGTTTACAACTATTGATCCCCGTAAACATAAGAAAAATCAGCAAAGCCTATAGATACCTATGTATTATTACTTTTCTAGGGAATTGATTTATAAGAATTCATAATTCTCTGATTTGTGATACAATCTTACCTTAGGACTTAGGAGCATGGGCGTACATGGGGATTGGGGAGCCACAGTCCCCCCCTTAAATTTTGAAAGAAAAAAATCCTAATAAATAGGTAACCTATGAATAATATGTTTTGAAATATGAAAAGGACTTAATTTACATAACCCTTAAAGCCTACAAAGAAACCTCAACTTAGACTTCTTTTTAACTTAAACTCGCATTTTGTCAAAATAAAGTCTAAATATAATCAGTATTCCATTATTTTCTCATTTTTATATGCTCAAGGATTGTGAAGTACTTTTAATGTATATAAAAAAATCTTTTATATCTTGTTTTATATTAAAGGGCATACTAAGACTTACTTTTCAAATATAAAAATAATTACAATTTATATATAATTTTTCATAATTTTATTTTTATACTACTAGTTAGATTTCAAATCCTGCAAGTTAAACTTCTGTTCTTCTTCATAATTTTATTTTTATACTACTAGTTAGATTTCAAATCCTGCAAGTTAAACTTCTGTTCTTCTTCTTCTTCTTGCAACCAACCACTTTATAAAAGTGATAACTTATAGCCCAAATCAACTGTAAGCAGCTAACTCTGTGCAGTTCTTGCAACCAACCACTTTATAAAAGTGATAACTTATAACCAAGCCAAATCCAACCCTTTCCATATACAAATCTTACACCCTATATTCTGCCCTCCCAAACCCTTCTTTACACAAGCTTTCAACATCCTTACTAAATGATCCTACTTTTTTGTTCAAGTTCCTAAATTATACAAGGCACGAATAACATTGAGTTGCAAATTGAACTCAGAAATTTAAAGCATAATCTGTGAAGGGAACTTTTGGTTCAGTGACAGTGTAAGAATCTTTAGATGCTATATTCCAGTCCCTAAAAGCTTCTTTTGACGTTTTCCCTCATCAATGTCAGGGGAGTGGATTTGAAAAGGAGATGAATGAAGTTTCAACCCAACAATTCAAAACCAGTGGCTGCAACATTGCCTATTCTTATTTGCTAATTCCTCGCATCATAGCAAATAATACAGAACAAGAACAACAAGTTGACACTAAAGAACGAGGTTGTGAATGAAGCAGAATGACAGAAAAGGAAATTTTTATACTATCCTTGTTTTCTTTCAAATGATGAAATGAATTCAAAATAACAACCAAGATTTCGCACCTCCAAGGATAAAACTTGAAGCTTATGTATTTATACTTCAAACTACCAAACTCAACATTGAGTTTTCCCAAATGTGGAAGAGAATAATGCAGAGCATCCTGGCAAGAAAGAGGCAACTCAGAATTTAACATAAAAAACCAAGTGTTTTTTCATGATAATATTTTTTCAATATGCTTCTGTTATAATTTTATTTAAATTTTATAAGATATTAGAAGTCAGGCGTATGTTGATAGTTCCTAGTTTGCAAAAAATGGACTGTAATAGTGTACCACAGTTAGGGCTGCAAATGAACCGAGCCGAGCCGAGCTTTGGCATGCTCGGGCTCAGCTCGCCACAATCAGGGAGGTGCTCAGGCTCAGGTGAGCCTAGAATAGACAAGCTCGAGCTCGGCTCGTCAGAAAATCAACGAGCTCGGGCTCAGCTCGGTTCGGGCTCGTTTACGAAACAGATCCAGTTCTAAAACCCCCGATTCCTATGCCAACCTTGCCCCATGTAGTTGCATCAAAACGAACTAGCTAGCAGGATTGATGATTGAGATGGATGAGGCAGCTTAGAGTTGTTTGCGAAGCAGGGAAGCTATCAGATCGGGGCAGCCAGCCACTACTAACAATTGGATTCCTCCAAATGAATTGTCTGCGCATATATATAGATACACAGCACGCACACGCACACACATATATATATAGCGCACATAGATACACAACACACATATATACAAGTATATATAATACAAAACAGATTAACTTATATATATAACACAAATATATCATATATATCAATATATATATATATGCACATACATACCTTGGGAGAATAGTTGTAGATAAGGAAAGAAGAGAATAGTTGCAGAGAAGGAAAGAAGAGAATAGAGAAGAGGGGCTGCCGCTGCTTCGTTGGTGGTAGAGAATGAAAGTAGATTAGGGTTTGTTTGTTAACATAAATGGGTTGGGTCTTTAAAATGAATATGGCCAATTTTTTTTGGGCTTTGATATTTAGATTGTAGTAATGGTTTTCAAATGGGCTTTGTCATGTATAATTGTAATGGACTCACACATATGGGCTGGATCAAGAACTTATAAATGGATAATAAACGAGCCTTGTTCACGAGCCCATACGAGCCGAGCCTAACATTGTTCAGGCTTGGGTCGATTACTAAACGAGCCTAGAAATTGGGCTCGAGCTCGGCTCGTTTGCTTAACGAATGAGCCTGAGCTGTTTATGAACAGCTCGGTTCATTTGCAGCCCTAACCACAGTCTGTAATTTGGGTCAATTTTGTATTACTTAGGTCATATTTGTGGTCCCTAATTTGTCTAGAATAGTCTTCAAAGTCAAACGGGTTCCCTATTTTCACAATGTAGCTCTCAGTTGAAGTTAGAGAAACCCAACAACTTATAAATATCACATCATTTGTCTAGACAAGGCAGTTTATTTATAAATTTTTATTATTATTTGCTACTGAAGCAACCTTACCTTAGGAATGATTCCCAAGGAGCTGTTCAAGGACGATTATTGAGTTACTTATAACCAAAATTGTCATATATTGGCATCAAAACCCTACCCTGTCAGACCAAGTCAACCTCAACCCTTTCTCCCATACTTTAGCAATAATAACTCAACACCAGCAACCCTAAATTAGCAACTGTCCAGACCTTCAAGCAACTGATTCTCGGCAATTACTGTAACCAACAACTTCAAAGACCAAGCCAAATCCACCCCTTTCCATCTACAAAAACCGCACACCATTTGTTCTGCCTTTTGAAACCTAATCCCATAAACTTTCCACATTCTTAACGCACCATTAAACAATTTATGGACAGCATTATTCTAAGTTTCCTAAAGCTGTCCTACATCAGTCATCAGAGCTATCAGGGAAATTCTTCCCTATGTTTGTCCTACATTGCCTGTAATTCCATTTTCATGTTCAGATGATATTCAAACTAGCTAAGCAAGCCAATCCTACCCTTCAGAACCCTGTGTCCGCGGCCCTTCCCCCAGGACTTTCCTATGACATTTTCCCAATTGAATATCAAATTCCAACTCAGTTACTGGACAAAATAATTTTAAATCCTCAAAAGAGACATGGTAAGTAAAACATACTTCCTACAGTGGCTGTAACATGTAAGCTTCCAAAGAGGTCTCTCATTCTGAAAATCTTCAATGATTTGGCGTTTGCATGACTCAGGATCCAAGCAACTTCACATGCATCAAAATCACATTTGATCAGTTATTTCAAATTAGTTACAAAGAAGATGAAACAACAATAAGTGCAAATGTGTAAAGCTGCAGACAGAGAGACAGTATAGTCTGTTGACCAAGCACGCACTTATGAATAGCCGCTGGAGGCTGAGTATCAGGTTGTCGTGATGCATGGGAGCTGTTGGAATTTACAGGGGACGAGCGGGTCCACTTATTTTCAAAAGGCTGAACCACATAAAATCATTATGATTAATTAGAATAAATATGACATCTATAAGATTTTGTAACTTGATAAATTCTAGGAAAAAGAAAATAAACAAAGAAAAACATGCCATACTTCAACTTTAGGTAGCTATATATTTAGGAAAGAAACGAACCTTGAACTGGTTCTGTTTGGATCCAAAATCATTGGCCCCTCTGGGTTGAGAGCTGTCCCGAACGCCAAATCCAAAGGGATTGGGCTTTTGCTGTTGTGAATTTGAGCGCTGAAACTGTGAGCCAGTTTGCATGCCAAATCCGAAGGCACTATTAGGTCTCGACTGTTGCTGAGTCGCATGAAGATACCTACACCCTTCACCATACTGACAGCTGGAAGAAGTGAAGAAAATATTGAAAATATAGTCATAGAAGTTCATGCAAGAGCACAAACACAGTGTATACTTTTGCTATAGAAAAATATAAATAAATAAACAAAATTTCCTGCATGTCAGAATGCAACTTGTCAATGTTTGATGTTTAAGACAACTACTCACAATGATAATTTGCACTCAAATCTATGAATCAATTTATACATATTGATAGTCATCGATCTAGTACAATCAGGCACAGACCCATTGTTAAGCTCAGTGGGCTGCAATTGCCCCCAATGAATTTTTTATTTTTATTTTTTAGTATTATACCCAACTATTTTTAGCATTTTGATATTTATACCTATATAATCACACAATTGCCCCCCTCACTCCGTCCCTGAATACAATTCAATACTAGAAGTAGACCAAAACCTAGACCACACTGCCATTGTGAAACGAAGCTAATCATAAGTAAGTTTATCATCAACTCACATTAGTTACTTTTATTCTTCTATAGACACATATGCAAGCTTTTTTGCAGAAATATTTGTTATTTCTAGTGTGTCAAAGATGTTTCTGCAATATTTTCCTAGTGTCCAATTTCAAAAACTTGAACCCAAAAAAAAACACAAATTAAGGCACCTGAAAGGGACGTCCAAATTGATGGAATGTACAAATGTAGAAGTAGAGAGCCTCGAGGTGCATATCAAAATGCTACTGAATAATACATTGATAAACTTTTCGAGGTCAAATTCAGGCATATATAGTACTGACATGAACAGAGAGAATCAATTCAAGAAAAGAACTCTTGATCATTGGGTGGAAGAGAGTTGTGCGAAATTCACTAAAACGTAATTCCAGATACCCCATCGCGACCATGTTAAGAGCAAGAAAACCAAAAGAATGAGATTATCAACCAACCAAGAGACAAACAGTCACACCCACGGAGTCCAATCTGTAAAGGTTATTAAAGAAAACCAAGCACGCATGCTTTCAGAGCAAACATCTTTCAATTACCAATTCTACACAAATAGTGGATATAAATGAAGCTTCGACTGACTGATTGCAGCAAAGAATATACTCTTTTTTCTTTTCTTTTTTTGAATTGAAGACTTGAAAGTCAATGTACGCCATGTATTTATCTAAACCCTAATAAATTTGCACAAAAAGAATCAAATCGAACAGTCAATAAACAATCCCATGTGCTAGACATATAGAGAGAGAGAATAGAAGAGGAAAAGAATGATTAGCATACCTGCCCTGCACAAAATTCCTGCAGAGTTCTTTCCTTGGAGCCATCTCTCTCTCTCTGTATCAGTTTCTCTCACTACTGGTTTAAAGAGTACGGAAATTTCTGCAGAGTTCTTTCTTTGGCAATTGAAGGACACGACTCCAAAAAACTAAATCTCTTTAGCCTGGACTAATTAAAGAACCCTTTAATTATTTAGAGATTTGAGTTTTATTTATTTTCCAAGGCAAAGTACGTAGTATTTTTAAACTAATGCATTGTTGGTCAATTAAAGTCATAATTCATATTTTATCAAAACACGTACTTTTTCTTTTTATCTTTTGAAAAATGATAATTACTCCAGTTAAAATTTTTTTTTTTTTTTTTTTCAAGTCAAGAATATGAGGAGATAATGAACATGGGGAACAACAAACACTAACAAATTTAAGTGCTAAAATTTTTAAGTGGTAACTAAAAAATATATTTTTTTTATACCTTTATTAATTTTTAATATTCAAAAGTCCAGTTATTTTTATTTTTTATTTTTTATTTTTTCAAGTCAAGAATATTAGGAGATAATGAACATGGGGAACAACCAACACTAACAAATTTAAGTGCTAAAATTTTTAAGTGGTAACTAAAAAATATATTTTTTTTATACCTTTATTAATTTTTAACATTCAAAAGTCGGGGTGGTAAACGGGCGGGTTAAATCGGGTTTGGATATGGTTTAATATGGACGGGTCAAATATGGATTGTGACCCATATTTAACCCGCTTGTTACGGGTTAAAATATGGGATGTGCCAAATGGGTCGGGTCGACCCATCATAATCCTTTAACCCATTTGAAGAAGAAAAAAAAAATTTGTTATTATTTTAGATAATCTCATTATTATAGTTCTTGATTTTAGATGAATAAAAGCTTCTCAAAATATATATGAATAATTGTAAATCCATATATGAATTTTTTTTATTTTATATTATTTTATTTTATGACTTAGACATGCATTAAGGTAACATATATATATATATATATATATATATATATATATATATACAGTCCCGTTCAGTTACTCCTTAGTGTGCAGGGAGTAATATGCGCAACTTCAATTTGAGTCGTTGGATTTCATCCAATACTGAAATTGAAAACAACTATATTAGTTGTTTCTGGTTTTTTAAGACTCCAAAACCGAAGTGTTTTAAATAAAATTAAACACCTTATAATAAGGAGGTATTAATAATGAAAAAATTAAACAAATAATTCCACAAAAATCGTGGAATTCTATTACTGGGAAAAAAGAAAAAAATTCTCTTCGTACAAAATTTTTGACAGAAAACTTACATTTTTTTTTCCTAACTCTTTCTCTATATTCTTGTGCTGGTGAAAAAGTTTCTCTTCAAACAGTGCGAGTTTTGTTACTGCATACTCAGGTAAATTTCTTGCAGAGGTTAGAATCTCACTCAACATACTCCTTTCTCGATGCATGACTATGAATAGCTTCACCTATGAGAATTTTTTTTTAGTTCGTATTCTCGTGTAATCAATTTGTTTCTCCAATTGTTGAGGATTTTTTTTTTTCCTAGCTAATATTAAAAATGAAAGAAGATAAAAAAAAAAAAATTTGGTCTATTACATACACAAGGAGTCCACGATCAATTAAAGAGAGAGAATGATGCAGAGAGAATCTTAGAGATGGACTAGGAGAGAGAATTTGAAATCGTGTGAGAGAATTTTAGAGATGAAGAAGAGGTGAATTAAAATAGAAGATGTGAAACTGGGTTTTATAACGAGTGAAACATGAGTCAAAATAAGTGACCTATATTCAACCTGTTTAATCCTCTATAAAAATGAGTTAAATATGAGTCACCCATTTTAACCCATATTTTAAAATAATTCACCCATATCCAATTTAAAGTAGACGGATATAGACGGATTGGTGGGTCATGACCCATTTTGCCAACCCTATGAATCAAAAGGCATGTGATATCACTCATGGCCGTTATCAAACACACCTATAAACTTTTAATTGAGTTTTCAAACAACTTGACTTGCTAAAATCTAAATGAATGAAATGTGAATATTATTGGAATCTTTGTGATATCGAGGGCAGATATGCATGGGTTTCACCTGATCAGGGATATTGTGGTATCCTCTACTTTGCTCCATCAGCTCGTCCTTAAGAGCCATTGGTACAGTAAGAGCAGGGACCATTCATTGTACACAATTGCTGTGTGAATTCACCTTTCACAAATTCAAATTTGCGCATAGGGAGGAATACCCATGCATGAACCATGTCCAGGACGACAATAATCTCAAGTTGAGATTGCACAAGAAACAAAAAAAAAAACACCAAAGGAATAAGGCTGATCATTAAATGGAACATCCGAGATTCAGAGACATCGGTCCAGAAATATCAATTGATGAAGTTATAACAGACGTACAATGCAAACCAACATAGTAGGTCGCCAAACTCTAAATGTCCCATATCATATTGCAAATACCACGTTTTAATAAGACACGTGGAGGCTTTGCCTCCACAACAATATGTTTAAGTTACATTGTCAACAACAAAACCCGCTAATCAGAAAAGATAAGCTGCAGGTAGAGTCCAGTTACTCCTTTTAAAAACGACAGCTGCAATGAAGGTCTAAAGGCATAACTACCCCACTTCTACCTCTCCTTGAGCTCCTGTTCGAATTGGACCAACTTTTCACGGACAGGCTGCAAAAACACCTTAAAATCCTTGCGGATTCTCAGCTTATCTTGGTGCCCAAGATCCTTTTCTTCACTAAGACTCACTTCAATCTGCAAAAGCGACAAATAATCAAGTTCATAACTGACATTATTACTTATATAAAGATTCATTAGCCATACATGCAATGCACAGATTGCATCTTTGCATCCAGGGGTATTCTGGCATCCAAAGGGGGGGAAATACCCCTAAAAAAGTCATTACCCAATACCCAATATTAGACCCCACCAATTGAGAATGGTAGTCTTTAAAAATTTTGCATTCTCACACATGTAACCAAACTACTACAAATTGTACCCAAAAAATAACCCCCTGCATATATGCACAGATGATAGAGGAGAGGAAAAGAAAAGTGAACACCACAATAATAATTATTATCAAGGAGGAAACTAATATTACATTTATAGAAATATTGAGCATTAAGTTTCTTTACTTATGAATTTATGATTAGCCAGAAAATTTTTACTTCATACATTAGAAAAAATAAAATATGTATTTTTTTTTTTTCGGAAGTTTATAAAATATGTATTTTCTAACAACATATCTCATATCTAGTCTCTCCAAGGCAAAAAAGAAATAAATAATAATATTTTTTAATTAAATTAATAATTTAACAGTAGTTTAAAGGTGATTGAGATAAGCAAATCATAGTATGTTTTAAACTGGTCAAGAATTATCTGGACCAAAATGCCATTGCCATGTATATCGTATTATTCAATTTTCTTCTATAAGAATCAATTAGTTTATGACAGATCATACTGTATGCATTCCATTATAATGACCTAACAATAAAAGCATTAATTAAAAAAAATAAAAATAATAATAATAATAATAGTATTATCTACCAACATTTATTGTTGGCTCAAGGCACACTAACCAAGCTGAGGCGGGCGCGCAACTAAATGCGCAAACGTGATCAAAACAAGGCACGTATAGAATAAAAATAAATATTAAATAAATTTACTAAGCAGTCTAGATGAAAATATAGGAAAATTTTCAGCATTTCAATTCAACGGATTAGCAAAACCAATATAGATATATCTATTAACTTTGTATACTGCGTTAAATTAAACCAATGTACATTGAAATAAAAAAAAAAATATTATAAATGGAATTTTTGACATACAAACACTATAATGAATGAATTTTTTTTTTTTTTTTTTTTAATTAAAAAAAAACGCACTTTTTTGAGCCTGAAGCTTGCCAAAATGCGTGAACCTATGAACTTTAGGTGAATCAAATTGAAGGGCGCCTGGCCTATAGTATGTAGAGGCACCCTGGCCGGGTCATAGGTGTCAAAGGTGAACCTAGGCTCCAAAACAGGCCAGGGTGCCTCTACCTACTATAGGCCAGGCCCCCTTCAATTTGATTCACCTAAAGTTCATAGGTTAATGCATTTTAGAAGGCTTCAGGAATAACAGAATTTCCTGTTTTCACCTATATAATGAGCAGCTCCTCTCACATAGCATGTAGGGCTACATATTAAACTAGGCTAGTGTTGAGGTCCCACATTGGATCCGGATGGGAAAGAAAATGGGTATGCAACACCACCCGATAGCTTAAGTTTTTGGGTCATTGGCAAGCGCCCAAACCATTACTGTTGGTACAGAGCCAGACTTAGTCCTTGGCCCGTGTCACACCAAGCGCCCTCCCGGGAGGTTTGTGGGTCTGCAGCCGGGTAGGCAGTGTGGCCCGATCGCAACGAGGGTGTTGCAAGTTCGGGTTGGGGAGAATGTTAAAGACTTATCCCACATCGGATCTAGATGGGAAAGAGAATTGGTATATATGGGCGGGTAGGCAACACTACCCAATAGCTTAAGATTTTGGGTCATTGGCAATCACCCGACCCATTACAGCTAGCCAAAAAACCCTCTGGATTCAGCGTAAATGCAGAATAAAGACACATCATCTTGATTCAACAGAGCTCAGTCTGCCCCTGGCCCAGCCAGATTCTGTAAGGATTCAAATATAGTAGAAGAAGAAGAAGAAGAAGAAGAAGGCTCTAATGGTCAATTCACCATGTGTGCCAATTTCAATTCCCAAACTTCAGTGGTTTTTGTTCAAGCACAAAGGTTGGTGTAAGCTAATATCAGTTGTAGGTCAGGCTCAAAGCTTTGATCCACATCAAGGTGAGCTCAGCCACGCCCCACCCAGCCTTTCTTTTGCCCCTAGATATTATATAAGTGAACAACACAGTGTCCAAGCTAATCCATTATTTTTAAGTCATTGTTACGTGGAGATGGTGTTGGCCTAAAAACAAAGGAAGAAGTCCACCAGATGTCTCCCCACTCATGCAAAACAGCAGATATTGGAATCTAGAAATATAAACGAAAAAAATCATCAAAGCAAGATTCAGTTTGCATTTCTGTTCTTTATTTTCACAGTTTCTTCTAAAGGATTACATATGGAGAAAATTTTTACCTGCAATTCGTCCAGCTCACCAAATGAGAACTCAGCGATATCTATTTGTCCCTTTACATTCTTTTTCTCCTCTTCAACAATCCATTCCCCTGCTTTCCGTATTACAAGTATTCAATAAATACATATGGAACAGATGTTGAAATAAGAAAGCAAGCTGAAGGAAAGTGCGTGTGGAGGAACAAGCTTTGGTGCAACCAACTGACCTTTCACTCTCAACGTCAACTCATAATTGTATCCAACACGTTTCTTGTTTCGTACAGTCACCAAAAATGCCTGTGAATCACTTGCAAGTATTATCAATACGAAATAAAAGTGAATTAAAAATAAAAACCAATTCATATCATTACACCAGTTCCGGTGGGAAGATGAACCATGATCATAATGGAGAATAAAGCACCAAAATGTTAAAAGTGCATAAACTTAATGGAGGGGGTCGATTTCTGGTTCTTTTCATTTTCTCTTTTTCTAAGTACGCATAAAGCATGATGTCCTAAGCCTTGGCACAAAAAACACTGTTACAAGGACTCACGTCGCCAACGCATTTTGACACTTCTGCTATTTCTGCTCTGCCACCAGAGAACTCCACGGACCCCACAGACAGAAGCAACTCCTGCAGTTAAGATCCAAACTTAGAAGGAAAAAGCGAGTGCAAAATAAAGGAATACATAGACAATGAACCACGCTTTACATTTTGGAGACAGCATTAAGAAGCTGCTGTAGCCCAGGAGCATGGCTATCATACAAGAAACCGTTTGAATGTGAAAATTTGAGCAGAATGTCATCCACTTCATTAATAAAGATACAAACGTCGAAATAAAAGAAAATTTATGTTGGATCCCAAGAAACCAATTAATCAGTTGGTACATAATAAAAACTAAAAAAACACATGCCCATTCAACATAGTCCGGCAAATTATCCCACACTTGAAATTCGAGGAATTACAAACCTTAATCCTATCAGTAGCCCATTTATTAAGGTTCTTCTCTTCCCACGTCCCAGCCTGTATAAAATAAGGATAAAAATGTAGTAAAAAGTAAGCAACCATAGGAAACTTATATAGATAGTACACTAAACAGGTAACATGTCAATTCAATCACGATCCTCGACACTTTAGACAAGATGAAATCTCCAGGCATGTCAAATAAAGAGCAGAAATGATCCATGCACTTCAACTACACAATTTCTTACAGTAGAATTGAGCCAATAGAAAGAAGATTGTGCAAAGCACGGAGGTCCACACTACAGGCCTGCTCTAAACAATAACATTCTGATTACTCGAAAACCAAAATCAAACAACAATTTGAAAATTCAGTTATAATAACTGTTTAGAGAATGGTAGATATAGCTGCAGCTATAAAGGAACTTTGATACCGATGACCATTCAAGGTAATCAATCAATTCAATATTGTTTTTACAGTGTTTTAAAGACAGCACTTGTTCAATTCTCCAATGATTAATATGTCCATGTAAATCTAAACCATTTCTCAAGCACTCAGACTACCATAGAAGACCAACCATTGAGCACTTTAGCATCAAGGCACAGGAGTGCTCTTGAACAAATGATGACATCCAGACCAAACCCGGGTTACACTACAAAGTGCAAAGAGCATCAAGATCAGAAACCTCCTCAAATCTATCCGAGGGGCATGACTAATGCATATGTGTCTCTGAAGTCTGAATATGTGTATTATTAAACAAGCATATCTGTTTATGTGTTTCTGAAGAGAATGTTACCAACAAAAATTATATATTGAAATAACAGCATGCATGGGTGCTCTCATGATTAATCCAATATAAGCCACGACCAATTTAAGCTCAGATGGAATTCAAATTTAATCCTGTGATAGGAACCAGAACAAAAGCCAGCCAAATAAGCCATTCTTCCCAGTTTTATTAAAGGCACGCCTAGGCTCCAAGCTCATTCGGACGCAACACTTGCACCTGTTGTGTGCCTAGGTGCGCCTTTGACAACATTTGCACCTTAATATGGAATATGAATATGCTTTAATAGAAAGGAAAAAAATTCAATTGTGCGCCTCACTTCACTTAGGTGCGCACCTCGCCTTACGCCAAGGTTCCAACTTTAGCGCCTTGGGCCTTTTGATAACACTGGTTCTTCCTACTCAATTTTTTAACTGAACAAGCGAACATCAATCTAACTCATAATAATAGAAATTTTGGGAATAAAATAAGAACCAGAAGGCATGGTTCTACCCACTCATATTTCAGATGAACAAACCAACTATATGGCATGCATGTTAAACTTCAAATGAACTTCCAAAGAGAGAGAGAGAGAGGAACAAAGGTGAGCCCCAACACAAGTATTAAATACATTGCTTGTATTCCCAACTCTATTTCAAAAATGTTGTCAAAAATCTTAAGTTTTGGTCACTCAAGGAACTTAAGAAATGCCATGTAAGAAACATAGTGAAATATACTATCGGCAAAATCTCCTATTTACATCAAATGCTTTTATTCAACAAAATGAACTTAAACAATTAAATGCTTCAATTGAATTCCAAGCACTAATAAGGTTATTTATGTAGTCACATTTAACTATACGCAAACGCCAAAGTAAGGGCAAATTGGGAAAGAAAGTATTGAGCTAGCCAAACAACACATAACCAATACAAGACTGAATAATACAACACATTGTTCAATTTAAGCCAGAAAAACACAAACTTGTAAGGTGATACTAAAGCATTCTATCAGTCACATAGATTCTAAAGTCAAGCACATCAGTAGCAAATCATAAATAGGAAACTATCATCAAACACAAGGCACGCGCATATATATCAACATGATGGTAGATAGAATCAGAACTAATATACCACACACACATATATATAGGTGTATACCCGATTCCAAACCGAACCGAGGTTGGAAGGTTGAGACTGGTTGGATATATCCTGAGAGGTGAGCTTGCGGGGAAGAGGGAGAGGGGCTGCATCTTCCCTGACTTCCCTCACCCAGTACGTGTACGACGCTGATTGCTGTTTCTCCGACACCGGCTCTTCCATTCTCTGCACACAAACACCAACCAACAAAAATCCCAAAAATTCCTTATGGAAGGTCAAAGAAAACCCTCCCTCCCTCGGAAACAATGAAACCCCAGAAACCCCTCCAGCTACAAAACAATTAAATCAGAACACAATCGAGTGGAATTGGAAACAAATAGATCAAATCGAGTGGAATTGGAAACAACCCAATTTGAAGAAAACAAAAATCGCTTTCCGGAAGGGATTTGGAAATTGGAATCTTCAGAAAGAGAGAGAGACCCAGTTTTAACTATCGGATCGTGTGAGAGAGGGAGTGTTAAAAAGAGAAGCAAAAATTCGAATGCCTCCGATTTCAGGGTCGAAGAAACAATGGCTGTGTCCGAGATTTGCTTTGATTTAGGAAGGTTAGAGAGAGAGAGAAAGCGAGGAGAGAGAGAGTTCCGATGGCTTTTGACCAGTATAATTCTATACTGTTATTGGAGGCTCTTCCCGAACCTTCGGTCCGCTTGTTCTGGAGACTTCATGGGGGTGGGCTGGGTCGGATGAAGATCGAGCCCAACTCAGGTGTTGCAATTCGAAAGATTGCCCAAGGCCCAAGCTGAACATCCAAATTTTCGTTGCAAGTACATGTAGTAAGATGGTATAGTCCAAGTCCAACCTCTTCTTGAACAAAGATAATCGGGGTTAGTGGTTAGTTGTCAGGAGGTACAAGGTCCGAATACGGACTCCAAACCCGATAAGCAACTCAATCAACCACTCTGAGCAATATTGATTCTAAAGAGTTATGCTTGATATTTTAAATAAACCTTTGAATTGTGCCATGTAAGTCACTTAAAGTTATCTGAATGAATTATTGAATTGTGATACATCATCAATTACATATAAATGTTAGAGGTTTGAAGATTTTAGGCAATTCTCCTTGAATTGTAAAATGTTAAAAATTTATTGTGTAATGTTGATTTTAATTTGTTCGTTATTTGTAAATTGTAATGGTCAAATGACTCAGTGGTAGTGTTATGAAATGCATTTTGCTGATATGTATGCAACAGTATTTTCTGTACTAATTTTGATAATTTTAAGGCATTGGTTTGTTTAGTTACTAATAAATTTGATATTTTTTTTTTTTTTTTGGTTCTCCTGTTTGGTTTTAATTATACATGTACTGAAATATTTGAATATCAAGATTCAAATGGACCCAAACCATATTTCAACCAGAGTAGTCACTTAACTAAAATTCTATGCAACAATTGTAAATGTGCTTTACTTGACTGTATTAATAAAAAATATAAACAAAATATAGATGTGGTTGTTGAACCAAGGATCTGAGCAATGAAGTCACAGTATTCCATTGACACTATATCATGTCCACAGAGACACTAAATACTTAACACACACACACACACACACACACACACAAAAATAATAATAAATAAAAATAAAATAAAGTAAAATTGTAGGAATATTTCTTATACAAATTAGGAGAAAATACCATGACATTTCAAAATAAGTACATGAATACCCAATATTGTTGCATACATGACACATGCCAACAAATTGCATCTCCCAACAATACAACTCAGTCATGAAAATGCCTAAAACTTCAAACTTCAAATTGTGGAATAATCTTTAAGCTTGTTACCAATAACATCCTTGCCTCATATCTTGTCACATCCTTTTTATAACTCCAAAATCTTGAAAAAACCTGAGTGAAACTTGAATACAAGAAGACACAAGCAACATGTCACAAGTAATTATTTTGCTCTACATTGTAGATAGGAATCATCAAGTATGAGGTATTTTATACCTATTTCTAAATCAATATCCATCTATGTGTATTTATATCTATATTTATATACTATTCTAAAACATTAAGGGATTTTTCCTATTTCTAAATATTTTTTAAATTAAATTTTTTTTTTGAAAAAAGAGAGTTTTAACTATTACTCCCTCCATCCCATTTTAAGGGTCCACCTTTCCATTTTTTGCTATCTCAAAATAGATGTAGATATTGGGTGCGTCTAGCGAGCCATGTCACAAGTGTTAATGGTTCGCAGTATCGGTTACGATCGCGATATCGGTTGCGGTCGCAGTGTAACAGACTCAAACAAAGTACTGATCGATATGAATCACGTATCGGACTTTAAAAAGAGTCATGTATCTGCCGATACGGCGAACCAACCCACCCAATGAAACATAATATATTATCTCCTTATCAGTAATTTTATAAGTAAGTGGGCTAATTTTTTAAAAAATAACATATTGTCATTGGATGAGTACACTAATGACATGGCGCCCAGGATATTCAATACCTACTCCTCAAAATATGAAAGTTAATTACATGATCTGTGCCAATTATAATTAGACACGGAAGTAATTATGTCCAAAATGTGTAAACGTTTTTTTAATTTTTTGTCCTTACCCATCCAATAATGATTGGCGGGGGACCATTTCTTTCCAAAAGAATTCTCCTAATAGGACACCATAGGAAAAAGACAAAATTTTAAAATGATTTGAAAATTCATTTGATATCATTAAAATAAATATATAGTAAAAATTAGGGTTAATTACAACGACACCCCCTGAGGTTTGCCCTATTGACAGTTATATACAACTTAGTCGTTTTTTAGACAAAAACACCCCTCAAGTTTGCAAACTTGAACAATGATACCCCAAACATGATGAAAGTACATGTTTACCCTTTGATCATGTAAAATGACCAAATTACCCTCAATCAAAAAATCCCTTCTTCCAAATTTTCCATCTTCCCATTCCTGTGAGCCTTTCTTCCCCACCGAGCATCAAAGCCGGCACAGCCCACAGCCGAGATCCTCACCGTCCCACTGTCACCCACATCCGAGCCATCCACAACCGTAATCTATTACCCTCCTTGAGTCACATATGGTCTATTTGATGATTAGAAACAAAGCCCCAATATTTCAGTTAGTGTCATGTAGATTATTGAGTCAATTTGAAGATAGATGGAGCTAGGGTTTGGGTGAAAAAAAAAATTGCAAAAAAGATAACAGGGTGGTGCGTGTGGTGATGATGGTGGATGGGTAGAGAGAACTCCATATTTTCCGGCGCATTCCATTCTTGCCGTTGTTTGTTTGGAGCATAGAGAGGTTAGAGAGAGAGAAAGTACAAGGTTTGAGAGAGCTCGCTACCATCATCCGCAAGCTCACAACCGAAGCCGCAACCAACCCATCGCCGTCACAGCCAGCCCATCTCCACGTCGGGGTTCACAAGCCCATCGCCGTTCTGAGCCGAACCAGGCCGTCGCCTACGGCCCAACTGTCTGTCGTCCCCATCTCCCCACCATCCGAGTCGACTGCCATCAAAACCAAGCTCGCAGCCGCCTCCATCAAAACCGATCTTCTTCTTTACGGCCGATTCCTCCACGGTCGTCGCCTTCTCCACAGCCGCAAGCCGCCTTCGCTATCATCCACGACCGAGTCCACCGCCGTTGCCATCTCGTCGCGAACCAGACCATCACGGTTGAGTCCTCCCCACAGCCCATCGCCGGCACAACCTTGCCTGAACCAGCCCGTCCTCACCGTCCGTGCATTTTGGGTGGACATCCATGGAGCACATTTTTTTTGTCAAATATTTTATTCAATTATAAGGCTGTGTTTAGTCAAGTTAGATAGAAAGAGAAACGACAGAGAGAGAGAGAGGAGGTGAGAGGGTAGTTTGGTCATTTTAGGTGAGGATTAAAATATATCTTAGGGCATATTAGACATTTCATATCACTTAAGGCTTTGCTTGGCTCCGTTTTTTTAAAATGGGGTGTCATTGTTCAAGTTTGCAAACTTAGGGGGTGTCTTTGTTCAAAAAGGGGTTATGTTGTATATGGCTGTCAATATGGAAAACCTCAAGGGGTGTCATTGTAATTAACCCTAAAAATTATAACCTTAAAAAGTTAGTTCAAAAGGGTCGCTTAGGTTAAAATGGGGGGAGTAATATGTGATTGAGTTAATAAATATGCATTTATTAAACATAGTAATAATCTAATAGATGACAATTACATTTTCATTTGAATTTTTTATTTTTAAATATTTTAAAAATTTTCAAAAAAAAAAAAAAAATATAGTTTTAATTATTACTCCATGGAAGCAATAAATATGCATTTATTGAGCATAGCATGGATGGTAGCTCATTTGAATTTGAATTTGATGAGATCATCTACACAATTCATATTACATCCATTCTCTACAGTAGCGTCACCTCTTCCTTTGGAGCTCCCTGCTCCCTTCCATGGGAGTGGGGAGCTGCTAGATACCTATCCCGGATGTAATAAACCTGGCGTGTTCGAATAAGTGCGTTGCGTGGGTATTTTTTTACGTCGTTTTTGTTTATGTTCGGCTTGATCTGCTCTTGTTTGTTTCATTTTCATCTCACCTGGGCAGATCTGTTGTTCTCCTCCGGCTAGATCTCTGATCTAGACTGGTTTTGGGTTTTTTTCCGCTTAGATTTGTTCATTTTCTCCTTGATTAGATCTTGTGCGGGGTTTTATGTGTTGAGGCGCCTTGTGGTTGTAGTTTTGGAGCCGTTGCCGTATTGATGACCAGATCTTTCGGTCTCTCCAGTTTGCTGTTTTCTCCCTTGGTGGTTCCGTTTGCAAAGCGTTGGACTCTATTTCCTCCCCAAATCTGGAGTCTGTTATTCATTTATTTGCTTTGTTTCATGATTTGTATGCCTTTTCTGGCTTGGCTTTATATGCCTCTGTACTGTCATCTTGGCTTTAGGCCTTTGTGCCTTTGAATGAAAAAAAAATATAAAAAAATAAAAAATATTCTTTATAGGTCTTGTCTATATCTTATTTTTCTTTATGTTTGAATTATCATGTCTCTTGTGGACTATAAGTTTGCTATTTTATTATTTTCACCATTTTTATATTGGTTTGATTTATCCCAATATTTTTTAATCATTACTGTCTGAAAATATATTTCGAAAAAAAAAAATTGAATGTTAAGAAAATTATATATTTTTATAGTTACTCTTGTAGGGAAACGTGCTAGTTTAAAAACTTTTCGAGGGATTTTAAATTCATAAATCTTGATTCATCACATAGAGACAAGTTTTATGCAAAAATAAAACATGATGTATCATTCAATTAAAAGATTGAATACTTACATCAAGGTTTGAGTAAACCTTAGATCTCTCCTCTAAAGTGAATGTTCTCACTTATTGTAAATCCCTTTTGTTAGACACCTTTTCCATGGATCTCTATCTTCTTGGTAATAATCTTGCCTTTAGAAATCACTCATAAGCCTCCATGAATGACCTTGGAAAACTAGGCTTGTGGGAGCCTCCATTAGATGAGAACATTAACCCTAATTTTCTAAAGAGAGAAAATTTATTCCTTTTTCCTTCTTCAAAAAAAAAAATCACCCCCAAAATATACATAGACCATGTATATTTATAGACAACATAAAAATAAAGAAAAGGAAACAACAAATCCTTCTCAATCTCTAA